TGATTGGGAAATTCACTGATCCACGAAAAACCCAAAATTGCGCTCGCCAAACTGGTTCTCACGCTAGGAAACAAAGAGTATCATTACTACGAAAAACCCAAATTGCGCAAGCCAAACTTGTTTCTCAAGTTAAGAAACGAAGAGTTTCACTTGTTCCATTGTGAATAAATGCTTTCTTCCCCTAATGACGATTTATTGGCTTCAATAAATGAATTAGTAGACAAGGAGGTGTAAATTGCCACCGCTTTGGAATGTAAATATTGAGACTTGACATATTGCGTCCTAAGTGTTTGCTTTCGTTGGCAAAGAATGAATGAAATTTGCATAAAAAAGAAGTTGAAAGATATTGATAACAGTTAACGCCGTCGATTGGTCAAAGTAAAACCTTCGTTCTATTATTAGCATGGCCTAAAAGTGTGGTCCAGAGCATAGTTTTCACTCTTAAGTAGCGCCTCGTGCGAATAATAAATTTCCTAAGTTAAGTAAACATGACCTTCGGCCAAATCTCTTATAAAGCTGACAATCTTGGCAGTCTTTCAACGTCTAGATTTCGTTCCGCTTAACTGGTGTACCAGCTCTGTGCTAAGTACAGCAGTTTAATGAGAGTTGATGACTTGTTTACAAATCGTTTGTTTATTTTACGATGACATGACGAGCCTGGTGATTTGTTGATGAATGTCTTCACGTAAACTTTTGCTTTACTGTCTGACTGTCTGTTCTTTTGTTATCTCAATCCTTTTCATTTTCAAGGTCGTTTTCGTCGGTGTATTTTATGTTTATGCCTGCTTGACTAAGAGCTATTTTCATTGTGCTATTCTTTGGATAGTTCCTCTCCAGCTCTTTTCTCCGTATAATTAACTTGAGGTATGCCACATTGCCTGATTCAACCTTGTTTGACATGCATACGTCTCTTAATTTGATTGACGGGTGCGTTTTAGTGGTCCACAGAGTCAACGTCACTGAAAACCAACGTACTTCGCACCTTGTTCCACCGCGGTTTTCCCAGTTTCCGTCTGGCACCCTTCCTTACTCAGATACACTTCATCCAGTCGAGAGTGCCTTGTGCTTTTTCTTTTAATACTCTTGGCTTGTAATTTCTGCTTTGTGTACTAAAGGCACTTGCCTGTTGTATTGAACTTAATTCGATCCAATCAATGCTCACTTGAGCAACTCTGAACATCTTAGATTATTGCCTGTGAATTGATTTGGCTTAAATCAGTTGCGTATCTTTCTGAGATCTTCTACAGCTTCCAATTCTTTTCATTTTTCTCCTCTGAGCTAAAATCTATCGTATTTATGATTGTATTTCTTTCCATCCAACATATACATATATTTTTTAATTATTGGGCTCGCTTAATGTCTCTTCAGTGAATTTAAGACTTTTCTTCCTATTTTTTCTACTTTAATTCTTTATCTTATTTATTATGTATCTTAAAATATTTTTGCACGCACCTAATTGGCGTCGGTGAGTATATGTAGGGTCAAGCCTCACTGGGTTAGGCATTCATAATCTTTAACAGAACTAGTGATGTGTGCGCCTATGCTGTCCGCCTTTTCCATGCTGAAATCTTATTTATTTGGTATCTTTATGCACTTAGCTTAGTGTCGGTGAGTATATCTGATATTCCACTGAACTGGGTGAGGCGCTGATAATCTGTAGCCTAACCTGTCAGGTGTTCACTATTAACTGTTGCTCTCTCTCGGCATGTGGATGCCACAGAGATCCCGCGGTCCCACTCCTAAGGGAGAGGATTGAAGACTGCACCTTAGGTAAACTTATCAGCTCAGAGAGTGCAATGGCACAAACTTGCAGTGTACGATCACCTCATTTTGTCGTACTCAACAAGTCATCACACAACTCGCCGAGAGAGATTCGCCTGCCGCACTAAGCTCGTAACTCCAGCCATTGTTGCATTGATCACTTTTTCTTCATTCCCCTTTTAACACCTTGTTCCATTCTCCACTTCACTTCCGGCTACTTTGTTCCATTCCTGATTTTCCACTTCATCTGTAATCGCTTCTAAATCCGTCTTACTTGACATTTCTATGCTTGTATCACAGATCAAAAATATTATTGAATTACTTTGCACACTTTATTTTGAACTTAAAGACTTTTAATTGGAATTGTCTCCTGTTCCAAATTTGCACAGTTTCAAAATTTTTTTTACCAGAAATAGTGAATTCAAAATGACAAATTACTGATGTCGATAAAAGCTAGTTTTTAAGTAGACACTTAAAGTGTGCAAAGTAGCTTCCGCTGGAAATGCGTTTTCTAACCCGGCCTGTTTGTGGGATAGGTGTCGTTAAGCCGCCCTCCTCAACCGATAGACACGAGCACACCCTTAAGAAGGGTAAGCACTATTCCCTTTTCGGGATCGTAAAAATGATGATATGCATACTTACTGAAAAAATTCGATGCCTTTTTATGCTTTGAATCCAACTCCAAGTTTAAAAAGCACCTTAACTGTTTGCAAACAATTTCATGGACCCGGGAAATCTCAAGTGGGTGACTAGGTCTAGTGTACACTTTTTAAACCACGCTCTACTTGGACGTCCCTCAAAGTTCCAAACCCTAGTCCTTCCTGAAGGTGATACCTCCTTACTTGATCACCCATTTTAAAGCGAACGCTTGTTGTCGTTGGCTCTTCCATCGTCCACTGGGGAACCCGTTCAGCACGCCGAAGCTGAAAAACCAAACCCTTTTTCCTCTGATCAAGATTTGTACTTTTAATATAGGTTGAGGAAACGATTTTTTATTTAAAAAAATCTTTCTTTTTTCTTTCAATGATTGTGCCATTTAAACTGATGTCTTTTTTTTCTCTATTTTCTCTGCAGTCGTCCTATAGCCGAGGACTTTCTGCATCGGGACGCAGTCACTCGTCTACATCAATGGACGACAGCATGGAAACTTGAAATTTGTGGTCTCAGTAGGAAGGTTGCTGGATTTGAAGTACAAATGATTAAAGGACACCTTATAGTCCATTAGGTTTCAATTAATCTTTTCAAATGTTGTTTACGCTAGCGCTTTTTGCATTAGGGAAATAGATATTCGGGGAGAAGTTGGCTCCCGCAAATATTTTTTCTACAAATTTGGAATATGTAACTGCCAGTTAGTTTATAACTTTATTTTTTAAACACGAGGAACTCGATCCGTGAACTCGTATTTGTTATTTCTATTTTGTCTACAAAATATTTGCAGCTCATTAAACACCTGCTTATTCAAATTTGTGTGTTGTGAAAGTGTTTCGTGATTTTAGTGGATATGAAGTAATATTAATCGTGCCTTAATTCCGCGCAATAGCGCAAAAAGCTGTCTGAAGTGGTTCAGGAGAGGGTGCCAACCTTTTCCTTTCCCCCCCCCACCCCACCCCGTCAAGAAAATTACATTTTCGTAAAGTAATATTAATCGTGTATTAATTCCGCCCAATAGCGCAAAAAGCTGTTCGAAGTGGTTCAGGAGAGGGTGCCAACCTTTTCCTTTCCCCCTCCCCACCCTGTCAAGAAAATTACATTTTCGTAGGTACCTCCTTTCCCACCCATATCTGTAAAGGGGTCTCTTCATTTGTTGCCTAGTGACCCCTTTCCTGCTCCTGTCTCTTGCTTTCATTGCATTGATAACTTGTCACCTTTTTTGCGTCATCAAAAATTGTCGATAAGTTGGAAAAAATGAGCACTAAAATACCAAGGAAGATCGCAAAGGAGTTGTACAGAAAGAAAAGAAGAAAGTTGACGCAAACGTCCAAAGTTCCATGTTCGGCGCCTCTATCTGTTTCAGTAATGGTAATGCTAGAGTACATCACCTACTACTATTACAAGAATTTCCACTGTATATCTGTTAATTTTTCAGTTTCAGCAATTTTTCCTTTTTCAAAATTGAACACCAAAGCCTTGTTTTGCACATTCTACTGTCTTAAAACAAAGTAAATAAGCGCTCTGTTTTGAATAAGCGCCCTCTCTGGAGGTAGCAAGATAAATACCATAGAGATACCATCGTAAGGAAGCGCCCCGAGCGTTAAATCGAATCATCACCACATAGAATAGTCTCTTTCACAGCCGTTATTAAGTTCTCTCCCCCACCAGAGAACGTTGCGTGCGAGCCTCAATCACGGTGGTTTAAAACCTCTTGAGGTGGCTAGGGACGGGAGCTTATTACGTAGTAAGCACAAACGTGGCTGCCTTAAGACTAAACGTGCACGAAGTGACGTAAGAACACTGCTGATGTGATACAACTAAATGAAACTGTTCATTCGCCTGGTTGTCAGTATACTCATTCAATCTTTAGAAATTCGTCAAAATGTTCGGCAAAGAGTTTTAAGAGCGTTTTCCCTAAACATATATAACGATGAAAATATCTGGACCTTCTTTTGCTTATTTGGGCGACTGTCTATCCATTCTGAACAAACTAGCATTGATTTGGTATTAACAGTTTGGCTAAAATAGCTAGAAATCGCATAATTAATGTACACACCACGACGCTGAATACAATTTTTTTAGTCAAAGTCACGCGCGAGCGGCTTTCTTGATCTGCCACGATGTAAACAGTTTTCACTTCATAACTACTTATGCCTGGTAAGCAAAGAAGGGAAATTACGGTAACCGTTAAGTTTTGGATTTTGGCGACGTCAGGCTAACTACGTACAAACAAGCAATAGCCTGCTCCCACGCCTGATCCAAAATTTTAAACTGCTAAAAGATTAATTTTAGCCCACGTTTCCGTTTGAAACTGGAAACCGTGTATCGACACTATGCAGACACAAGTTAACCACGCGGACAAGCTCGCTTTGAGCAGCTCAACCAAAGATTTATCCAGATTGTCGAAGGAAATTACAAATAATAAATGCCTAATTATGCGACAAATAATATTCATGAGGTTTGTGATGTTACCTTGACCAGGGTCTCAGGTTATTTATTATCTCTATTGTTTGCCGGAAACACACCCTAGCTACACATCCTCTAACTGGTCGATTCTTCACACGTGACATATTATAATACTACTTTATTCTGCGCAAACCTTACCGTGTTCCCTTTGGCCTTCACATCGTACTTCGTTCTTCTGCTCTCTCCCTTCCAACTCTCTCCTTGAAGTGTCGTTGAATGCAAAACCGTTCATAAAAATAATTACATCTCTCGTTTTCCTAACTTCCCCGAGCAGGGAATTGATCACGTAATATTGTACATGCATTGCGTCGGGTTGTTTTGACTGCGTTCGAAATATCAACTTCGCTCATACTGCGAGCGATCTAAGATGCATTTCAAAGGGTTGATGATTGCTGTTCAAACTCTCGATGGCGAAGCTGGCAAGAAGAGAAGAGCAAAGGCGTATCTTCGCACGCATCGCAAAGTTCAGACCTACCAGGTAAATTCAGTTATAAATTCGTACAATAAATTTTGCTCGAGGTATTTAAAATCATTATGCATGAAAACAGCAAATAAGTTATTTGAATACAATGTTCATTCATTTGAATTTAAACAAGGCTTTGCTGTTAAGGTTCACTTGTGCAGCGTAATCGCTTCGTTTTTCGTGTGCGGTCGTTTAAGAAATTTCAACTGGAGGGTTGCTGTGATTTCGGCCTCCCTGCGTTTTGCCATGGTACGTCTATCAGTCACCGATACCGCTTGATCCTATCTCAATATTTCCGTTGTCACTAAATTGCTGTGTATTGCTTTTGTTGTGATTTTTTAAAAACAAATTTAATTTATTCCCTGTTACATTTCATTTCCCATGGGCAAAGTACACGAAGCTGTTATTCAATTATAAAGGCAGTCTTGTTTGGTTATGTTTAAAAAAAAAATTTAAACGGATCGAGTGATGTTTTAAAATCTGTCGGAAACGGTGATAATCGATTCTTCCCGTTGCGTAGTTTGCGCAACAACCGATTAGTATTTTACTTAAAATTCACCGAAGATTTGGTTATTTTTCAAGGATTGCTCAGCCTTTGCTCTCTGTACGGAGATGACTTTTCTCCAGGTTTTGATTTCCGCTCAAGTTCTGATAGGAAATCATTTGGAATCGGGCGGAAATTAGGAAATCGTGTGCCCTTTTTGTTGGTATCGTGTTTCCTTAGTTTTGAATTGTCAAAAAAAGTGTGTAGCCACAGAAATTATTTTTTTAATTTTAAAGTCTGGGTGTTACCTCTCAAATTTTATTGCCTGGAAAACTTATCAGTCTCTCTCTCTTATCGATTTTGTAATGCCAGGGTTGTGAAGCTGGCGAAGCGATAGAGGACAAAAGTTACCATCAAAAAACTGAACCTGAAAATTGCTCAGTGGATACGGAGTCGAAAAAGGTTTGACGTGTGCTTCTTTCCCGAGGTGAACCATTTTTTAATTGCAACGATTCATAACTGATTGCTAATGTTGTTTATACTATTGGTTTGTTTCTGCAGGCTTATCAAACTTGGCTTATATTCCGGCTGGGTATTCTGAGTGGCATGTTTTTCGTGTTGTTTACCGTGCTAGTTATTGCAGGTATGAAAACAGTGACAAACTCTTGTAACTATGTGTCGAAAAAGTCGTTTGTACATGCTGAAGGTTTTCAAGATATAATGATCGTGTCGTAAATTGGGTGCAGAGTTCCAAGTCACGGTAATAGGGTGCTCTTATGCAATCATGGCAGTTTTATGGATCTTTTCATCTAATGTTTGGGTTTTATGTAATGGAAAGCGTATCCGAGAACTTTTCAATAACTGACCATACGAAATTTTACCCTGCTGAGGTTTGCTTTTCCGGTTTCGGCCAACAAACCATAACAACTAAGAAAGTACTTACGTCACAATCAAATTACTAGTCAATTATCCATGTAAAGCAAACGCTATTGTAGAGAGTTCACAGTTGGCTGTTCCTTAGCCAAATATTTCCACAGCTGTTTAATGAGAATTCTGACACCCGCTTTCCTTCTCCTGAGGGATATATTTTGTTTCTCCGATTGAAATATTTTTTTAGCAAGCTTCGTCGCGGTTGTTACCAACGCAGTAGGAAGATGTCAAAATGTTGAAAATAACCAAATAATGACGGTCACCTGACATTTTAATGATTTTTTTCTTCAGCAATTCGGGCGGACAATGATATCCAATGGCAACCTGCGTTCCGCATGTATAGAGGAATGTTTCTGTTCGTACTAGAATTTTTTTTCTTTGGAATCAATTTATACGGCTGGAAATCAGTGGGTATTAACCCTGCACATATCTGTGACTTAAAGAATAGTCTCTGCCCTCTTCGAATGCTAGAGGTAAGATTCGTGAGATGTACTCGTGAATTTTCTAAACCCTCCTCCCCACCCCCCTCCATGACACCTTTCTGATCCCCAGCAGATTCAAAGCAAACTCTATCTGAAATTGTAACAGTTTTATACCGCGATGAAGTTCGTATTAAGATGGTAGCAAAGCGAGGGGGTGGGGGGTCCAGATTCTGTTTCATGCACAAATTTTAGTAAAATTCGCGCGTCTCGGGCACTTTAAGCAGAACTTCACACGTCACAAGTTTTAAAGGGAAAACTTCAAATCCCAGCTTGCCTTACCTTTCTGTAAAATTCTCGTGTCAAATATTAATTTTGGGCCTCGTCATGCACCACTCACAAACCCTTTGCGTCCCTCTTTTAAAAATTAAATCAATCTGGATGAATGAGGGACTTTCGAGGCTCACAATATATTGCATTTTAGACTGTTTTCATCAATATCAGAACATTTTACTCTTCTGAAGTTTTTTGCATCAGCGTAGAAATTTTGCTAAACGCTGAACCCAGCGGTAACAATTTTGTGACAAAATCTCGGCACAAGACCGCAGTTTTTATTGTCCTGGTGTTCATCAAAGGTAACCGTACGGCACTTGAATATTTTGAATAAACTTTAACGTTTTACTGTATCTGTGTTCTCTCTGTCTCTCAATAGATGTCGTTGTTCTTCGCCGTCCTATGGGGAACAAGTGCTGTGGTTTTTCTTTTCTCTGAACATTTTGGACTGCCGCGTTATTTCCATCCAATTGCGTTAGCTTGTTTCTTTTCGATTTTCGGTATCAACACGCTTGACTTCTGTTTAAGAAAAGCAAGATTCTGGCTTCTTAGGGCAATTGTAAGTATAATGTTCATTCATCTCTAATTTTGTTGATTAATTCCCACACGATTTCTCCTCAATTCACTCTTTCTGACTTCTTCGTTTCGCCTCATCGTTCTCTGAAATGACAGTTCCCTTAGATAACAGAGGGGGCACTGGGGTCTAAAATTGTTAGAAATGTCGCTTAAACAGTGAGACGGCCTAAACATTCTAAAGAACTGATGTTATCCGCGTATTTTAAAAGTGATAAGGTCAAGGGAAAAGACAAGCGTATAGGAAAAAAGTGGATACCAAAAGTCGAAAAACTGACAATTCTGCGAAGAAAATACGTTAAACTAATCTCAGTAATGTCCAACACCGGAAACCCTATTGCGTGTCTCTCGGTGTTTGTTCGTCCGAGGTTGGAGGTAATTTTATGCTCCTTGACACAAATTGTTGACCTCGTCAAAATAGATTCGTTCATAGGCACGTAACAGCAAGTTGTTAAAACAAATTTAATTTGCTCTTTGTTTTTCTTTTTTTTTTTCAGTGGCGAGTTTTGACAGCGCCGTTCCACCATGTAGGATTTGCCGACTTCTGGCTTGCAGATCAGCTAAACAGTCTTGTAGTTGCTATTCTGGATATGGAGTATATGTCTTGTTTTTACGCACTTGACTACTACTCTGTTCAAGGTGAGCTAACAGTCATTGCAATTTCATTGTCCTTTGCCTTTTCTGCTGTCGGGTTTTTCTGAATCTATCGAGGCTTTCGTAATCTGTGCAACTTCGTCTTCCCTCGGGTTGCGGTCGGGTTTGCCAGGATCTACCGAAACTATCATTATCGGTGCAACTTCGTCCTCCTTCGCGCCGTAGTCGGGTTTGTCGGAATCTGCCGAAGGCAGCACCATTGGTGTAAATTGGTTTTCTTTGGGCTTGCTTCGGGGTCTTTTCGTGTCTGCCGAACTTCTTACGCTGCCAACGACTGTGAGAAGAGAAAAAGCGAATTTTGTATTTTGATGAAAACGTCAACTGGATGGAGTCAAAAGAAGTCTTAATACATATGTTCAGAGTCGCTAGTACTCGTTCTTGCGTTATTTTATCTATATTTCTTTATCTAATTTCTTGTCTGTCCTTTTGTGGGAGAAAATTCCTTCGAGCAAACCACTACACGCAGGATATCTGTGGGAAGTGTTCCCCCGTATATCGTAACCATCATATCACACTTTCTGAGGGTATTGACTCACTTACATTCTATGTTTTATTTCTCTTGTAGACCGAAGTAAATGCGGTAGCAAACTGTATGGGCTGAGACCGCTGATCGCTTGTCTTCCTGCGTGGTGGCGCTTTGCGCAGAGTCTGCGCAGATACGATGACACAAAACAGAAATTCCCACACCTTGCGAATGCTGGGAAATATTCCACAACGTTCTTTGTTGTGTTCTTTTCAACAGTGGCGACAACTCACAAAGGTATCCCTCATGGAGAAGTTAGTTGAATGTGAAAGAAGGCATATAATGAAAGTTTTTATGGTTTCCTTTTCATATTTCACCCTTCCTAAATATAGTCCGGCCGATAAATTAGATCGCAAAAATGCAGAAACCGATCTAAGTTGGCCTTAAAAGAGCTACGTCGTAGTTCGTGCATCTTGAAAAATTTGGCGGAAATTTTTCGAAGTTCCTCATTTGCAGTTTGCGTTCAGTGTCTTACTTTTGTTTTGTTTTTTTTGTGTGTGTGTGTGTGTTTATTTTACCACGCAAATATTTTTTGGTCTCCCTCATGTTCATCGTAATCTTACTTTGGTTCGATATGGGCCTGTACAAAACTGACTTGTGTATTTTTCATGTAATTTTTATCTTTAAGGGAGATAACTTAACATATTGTTTTCTATCGACAGAAAATACTGGTAAACAGCAGATGGATTTCTACTTTCTGTTTTGGATCTTCTCGGCGTTCATCAGTTCGTGTTACACCTACGTGTGGGATGTGAGAATGGACTGGGGACTAATGGATTCTAGTCACGGATATCTTAGAGCCAAGTTGCTATTCAAACGCTTGGTAAGTAGAGGCATGGAAACGAAGTTTAACTTCCACATCTGGGGTCATTGAGGCCATCGCGACCTGGGTACATGGGTCGGGATGGCCTTCAGCGTGGAAAAGGACTAGGCCAAGAAAAAAAGCTTGGGTCACAGGTGATCGCGATGAGCAACAGATAAGAAAATTTTTTTAAGAAACGGTAAAATATCGTATGGGAAAAATTTAGTTGTGGAATGAGGAAGGAGGGAAAATTCTGTATTTCATTCTACACTCCACCCGTGGGCTAAGGGGAACTTGTAGCCCCGGAAATAGGCCAGAAAAGGAACCCGCGTATTCTGTAGTTATATTTTCGAATTAAAATGTCCTTATCAAATGTATTTTTTTCTCTTCTTTCTGCAGGGGTTTTATTACTTTGCGTTGGTTAGCAATCTCTTTCTTCGCTTGTCCTGGGTCCTGACTGTATCAGTTGGTGAAGCAGGACTGTTTCATTCTGAAGTCCTCACAGCATTACTAGCGGTGTTGGAAGTATTTAGGTCAGTGGTAGTACTAGTTGGCTTTTTAACTTTTGTTTGGACTTGCCACACGAAGAGAGAGTATTACGTGACAGGCGCAGAACTCCGTTTGTGTTTATTGCGTTACTTAGTGAAAGTCCTTACCCAACCGGTGTTTACCCTACTTAAGTGTTTTGACTCGTATTGTTCAGCTGAAAAATTGTGGAAAAAGTCTTAATTTGTTTGCGCAAACTGCGCACGAGTCTTGAGCGTTTGATATGCCATGATCTAGTTGCATAACTAATTGTGAAATGTTCTCTTTCCAGGCGATTCGTATGGAATTTTCTGCGAGTAGAAAATGAGCACTTGAGTCGACTAAAAGGAGCGGCGGATCATAGTCAAGAGGAACTCAGAGAATATGACGAAGATGAACAATCAGAAGAGTCAATAGGATAATAAATTGTGACAGACAATGACAATCATGACAATCCCCAATCCCACTTTTCTCTATGACGAAAAGTGTACGCGTCCTTAACTGGACGATGAAGTCTGGGGAAACTCGACCTTTAAATTTGGGGATAAACAAAACTTAGTGGCTAACTATTTCAAAAATTATCATCAACTCTGATATTTAATGATAAATATTACTTAAGCTACATAAATTATTATTACATTAATATTATGTTTATGTAGAAGAACCACTATTGTTAAATTAGATGTTAAACTTTATTTAATATTGTTAACAAAACGATTACAGTGGAATGGGGAGTCGCGTCTATTTTGTTTACTTCAGAGGGTTATTTTTTTTGTCTGCAAGGCATTATAATGTTCCTTTTTTTTTTTCAAGTCAAAGAGATTATTTTGGGGAGGAAGGGTTCTGGTTAATTTGTAAAGATATGAAGGTGCATAGTACAAATCGTTGTTTTTGGAAATGCCCATCTTAAGATGATTGATTAATTGAAGCGAATGTGATGAGTTTATTTTTCTAACTATTCGGTGAAAATAAGTTGATTTCATTTTGATTACCCTTCTTCGAAGTTCAAGCAGGTTATACAGTACATCGGTCCGTGAATAAACCGAGAGAACACTAGAGAGCTAAGAGCACGAGAATTTTCACGAGAATGATCCCTGTTTGCTTTGGTTTTGCATTGCAGACCTATCGCAAATCAAATAGTTCCCTTGGGTTCACTTGAGTTTTTATTTGCTCTTTAATTAATTTTGCTTTTATTTGGCGACATTTGGTTGAGAAGCGCTTTCATTTTGACGTTCAAGATTAACAGCAATTTGTACGTGTTAATGGAAAAAAGTTAGCACTTTTGCCTCACGTTCGTAGTCCGATGGGAAAACAAGGCTTATTACGGGGTATTATTCTCATATTTTTATAAGTTGATAACAATATTAAAAGGATTAGAGGGTAATGTACCAATTACATTCGAATCTAGTATTTTCATTTGCACTCGGCCGCATTCACTTCAAACGGTATTTGCTATACTCACTGAAAAATAAGATGATGTTTATCAGGTGTCTACTGCTCGCTCAACAAAGAAAACTAACTGGAAATAGCTTATAATGAGACGAGGGGGAAAAGATTTGGCTCAAGACGGAAATCTGTCCTCGATCGTATTGAAGGTCGGTATTGGGAAAGATATGTTACTGTGTAATGTATTTAGTCGTTTCGATGTTACTATGTAATGTATTTAGTCGTTTCGATGTCTTGACTATTAAAATCTTTCGAACAAAGCTCGTTTCATCGACTTTTCTTTCTTTTCGAGGCCATTCTATTAAATAATTTGGATACTCGCAAGTAGGGTTAGGGTGTATCGCAAAAGGAGCACCTACTGTTCAGGTTGAAGGTTTCAGCAGCCTGAGTAAATTCTTCGACCATTGATCTCTTGTTATCTCCTTTGCCAGCGGTCTTTTCAGGGGATGTCACGTCGTGCTTTCGGTTGCGTGACATCCCTCAGAGGGCTGCGAAAGATACAAAAAGCAACACCTCCGTAAATTGACCCTCATTAAGGGGGGAATCGGGGCCTATTACAAACCACAAAACCATAGAAAAAAATCATCTAAAACCGAAAAAAATGCGATCAAAACCGAAAACCGCATGCAAAACTGTCAAAACCGATACATTTTCACATCCCAGTTATTAAAATCCTGATCGATCTGATACAGTGGTGACAAGTGTAGCATACAGAATAAACTACACTAATTTCATTACAGGATTTATGAATGTTATGGACTTGGCATTCGTATCTTCTAGTATCTGCTTAAATTAACAGCTGCCCTCTCGAGGACCTTGAGCGTGGTCTTTGCGGACTCAGCTCAGCTCCAAGGTGGGGGGGAGGGAGGGTTGCAGCTGGTAATGGCGCCTAAATAAATAAAGGAAGTTTGCACAGAAGGCTCTATAGGATTGCAATTTTGCAGTCGCAAAATGCTATAGCTCTGGAAAGTTTCATCGAAATTCCCTAATCTAACATTTCCATTTGCGAACTAAGACCTGAAAGTTTGGCCTGTAACTTGGTCACCAACTTCGAGGTGGCATTGGTTAAGAAATTCTAGCAATGTTCGCGTAGCCGTACCCTCCCCTCCCCCCCCACCTTAGGGGGGTACGGCTACACGTAGGCTACCTAGGAATCCCTGCGATATTTCAATTGGTTCGTCACGCATTCCTCTCGATAACATTTGCGTTTAGCCGCTATTCGAGATCTGTGGAGGCGCGTAATTGCCGCTCAGATCGAAGAGAAACCGGAACCCATAGGAAAAACCGAAAACCGCATCGAGTATCAAATCCGAAAACCCGTCAATAGTTTTCGCGGAAAGCTAAAACCAAATGCCAAAATACGGAAAATGCGTAAACCGCAACGAACACCAAAACCGAAAAACCCAAGTTTTTTGGCACAAAAACCGAATAACCGATTTAAAATATAGCCAAAACCGCAAATCCGAAAATCCCGATGCCCCCCTCCTCATTACTAGAGAGAAACTCATTTAAGTCCCAGTACATGAAACACTTCTGTTGGTTGTCACCTCCGTTTCTGTGTAATGCATTTTTTTGCATAGTCAGAATGATAGTTTAGTTCACTGTTTTTCCGCAAGGTTTACGGATACCGTAAAATTCTGAAAATAAGCCCCGGGGCTTATATTTTTCAAAGGAATTTTTTGAGGGTCTTATTTTTGGAAGGGACTTATATTCCGAAGGGCTTATTATAGGAGGGAAATTTGCGTTTCAAAATTGGCTGGGCTTATAATTGGAGGGAAATTTGTTTCAAATTTTTGTTCGAACTTCCTTGCAAAAACTTTGTCTTCAGACCGAAGGAATTAAAAGCGCGAGTGAAGAGTGAACTGCGTAAAAGACAGTAAACCTCAACACATGTTGACCACATTGCTTTAGTGCACGGATTCGTTTTTTATGATTAAAAAAGGCTTCCTGATAATGGTAATTATGTGTAGTTTGCTTTGGTTTGTATGAATGAAGATAATTTCCAAATACAAACCCCCGGGGGCTTATATTCGGAGGGGCTTATTATAGGAAGTATTTTTGCGTTTCAGATTTGGGGGAGTTTCGATACGGAGGGGCTTATACATGGAGGGGCTTATTTTCGGAATTTTACGGTATGGCACTAAAATTTTCATCCCTGCCACGCGTGCTTATCACGCGCTTTACACGCGCGCGAGGTAAACACCTGGTTTTTGTAAGTTTAATAGTTCTATAATTTTATACAGTTCCATAATGCTACATCATTTTAAACACTTTTATATAGCTTCTAGGTTTATTTATTTATCTTTTCTTTCGTGACTGACCTGTAAATTTTCTTTATACAGCTAAGTGTCAGCCACGAATGTATGTATGTAGACGAGCCTCCGATTGCCAGCGGTGTTTTCAAGCATGCTCAATGCCCTACGAACCGGCGTGGAAATTGCACCATTTCTCGTGGGCCAAAGCAACCGGGGGAAAAAATAACACAAAAGTCAACTTTTTCATAACCAAGCCATCAAAATATCTTAGAAACAGCACGATTGAGGAATGGATTCAGACGCAAACGCACCAGATTCGTGGGATTCTTTAGACGATCCTGGCCCAGGAGAAATGAGTGAAGGAACAAGCGATTTGAGTGCCCAACTTCATTCGCTCAATGTAAACGCAAAACCTTTTGTACCAAACGTCAATGCGCCGGCATTTGTTCCTTCGTTTTTGAAAACAGTGACGACTGATGGTAAGGCCCTATCCTCTTTGTTGATCCCCACTCTATCATCATTATGGGTGAATACTCTGACCACGATCGTATCTTGATGAAGTTTTAAATCAATTTTTGATCATTGTACCGCTGTACTCGTGCTCCGTCACGATCAGATTGGAGTCATTTCTCTTTTCACTTCTCTGATGATGTGATCAAAAACAGTCGATGTTTCTTATTGAAAAGTCTGTTTTGTGCTTTCCGTACAGTCAAAAGGCCATTGTGTAAACTCTTAAATCCACGTCAAATTAATATTAGCGCTTGTGCAAACTCTCAGTTGGTATTGCCTTTGATCTTGTTACTTTTATGAGAAAGTTGTTTCACAGTTATAATGGGTAGTTCCTATTTTGGTTTGTTTATGATTCAGCTTCTCCTTCTACAAATGGGGATGTTGATCAGTCGGAAATTTCCGAGAAAAATTCGGACACTATTAAGGGTGAGTATTGTAGAATATTTAATGAATTGATCTGATGTTTTCACAACTGTATGATCATAAACAGTTGTTTGCAATTCATAATACTGAAATTCGTTTCAAAATCGTGAAAGGAACTTGTTTAATGTAGATTTTGTCATTGTACAATTATGTCTCTGTTGATGTCTACCACTGCTGCTTTCTTTAGTCAGTGACACCAACAACAGTCGTTTTCAAGACTACCCCTCTGGTTTTTAAGCCAGTTTTTAAGCCATTTTCTATAAGTCTCCTCTAGAAAATTCCTAATTATGAAGTGTACTTGGCATTTCCCCTTTATTTTCAAAAAGTGAAAATAGAGTTTCCCTCTCTCCCATATCCCAGGTATAGAGGTAGTGTTTTTCAATTCAGGGGGAAGAAACTAGATGTACAGAAAATATATGATTTTAGTAAGGTTGTGTAGGTGGGGAAAGATGGGTGGTAATTAAGTAGGTTCAAGAACCTGGAGACATCTCCTGTCAGAGGGTATCCAAGTTCCAGAAGCATGAATTCACGCAAAGTATTGCCATCTCCCCCCCCCCCCTCCCTCTGTACTCTCTGCAGACAAAATACTAAGCAAATCAATATTACCCAAGAAAATAACACAATGAGCCCAGCTACAGCTCAAACCTTGATCTCAAGATTCAGAGTATAGAGCATGACCATTTGGCCATGAAATCTCACTTGTTTGGAACTGGCAACTGCAATTTAGAAGTAGTCTGCACAGAAGTATGAAAGGAAAGTGGTTCTATTTTAAGGGCAGGTAAGGGAGGAGGAAGGCAATTTGACCAGAGCTGCCTTGTCAGTTCTGACTGTTCTGTTTTTGGTCAGGACAGTTACACTGATCAGTGTTGATGAATGGAAAGCTACTTTGTTATCTTAGATAGCTGCCTTATTTATTTTTTAAATTTTATCAAAGGAGATGTTCCTGGCGAAGACAAAGAACCCATTGACATGAAACCAGAAACAAATGAAGACAGAGGAGGTAAAAAATTAGATATCTACAGTATATGTTGATGTGCTTCAAGTTGAAGTAATAATCAGTTTATGTTACATGGTGTATGGAGTTGGCGGAGGAAAGGGAAAGAGAAATTGGAAAAAGCATGTTTTAGAATTGAGTTGTGTTAAGTTTTTTTTTTGGCTGTTGACCTTGCTTTTAGGGTTTTCCCTTGCTGGACAAGAAAAACCAACTTGAGAATGTCCAGAGTCAAACCCAATTGCTTTACTTTGTAATCATTGTTTACTAGAAACCAAGGAAACAGTTGAAGTAGAGGCTGAGGAAGAAGAACAGGAAGAAGTGAAGCCTGTGAAAAAAGAAGCAAAGAAAGAAGTTGAAGAAGAACCTGAAGACAAAAGAGAGCATCTTAATATTATATTCATTGGTCATGTTGGTAAGAACTTCACGTCAATATCAGTATCTGGGCAACTGCCCACCTACCCCTCCCCTAACTCAACAAGAGTCAATTGATAACAACTTAGGGTTAATGTTGGGTTAGGGGAGGGGTAGGTGGGCAGTTGCCCAGATACTGATATTGATCCAGAACTTCTTAACAACTTTGTTCTTTCTTTTATTTGTAAGATGTACTCCTTAACCCTGTACATGCTAACATCAGTATGCATATTCTCTATACTGTTCCCCGTACACTTCTTAAGGTGCTGACAAAGAGAATTTGTTGAACAATCAAGAGTTTCAGTTGATGATCATGTTCCTTATTCTTGTGACTTCATTATGTGATCCAGGGGTGATATTGTAAGAAATTAGATTAATATCACTCTTAGGGGTAAGATGGTTCAATTTGTTGGTAGAGAGTCAACTTAACTGAATTTGCTTTAGAGAGAATTTAAATACAGTATATTTACTTTTTATAAAAACTAACAGAATCCTGAGTTGACTTAATAATAACTGAGGTTACCTGAGATGATTCTTGAGATTTCCATGATATAAATCATAATGAAACCTGTCTTTTTCTTCCAGATGCTGGAAAATCAACAATTGGTGGACATGTAATGTAAGTTTGATTATGAAATAATGTAGTTTTAGAGAAGTAATGAGGATACCATGAAAATGCTTCATTACTTGTATTTGTGTACTAAATGATTTACAAGAACATTCTTGAAACAAATTTTATACTCTGTCTTGCCACAATTTTTCAAGTCTTGGTTTTTCCTTTTATTTTTGTATTTTTTGTACACTGGAGATGACTTTCATTTATTTGTTGTTGCTTAAAACTAAAGTACTGACAGAGGTATTATTTGTTAAGAATGATAAACTACTTTAAGTAATGATTGTGTTATGGCCCTTGTAGAAACCTGTTTTTCTGTTGTTGTTGTTTTTTTGTTGTTTTGTTGTTTTTTTGTGGCTTTTTTTTTTTTTTTTTTTTTTCACTGAAAATATCCTTTTAGTAGTTTTAAAATAAAATCAATGAGGTATTATTTCATAGTGACAAAGTACTTAATGATAGCGTGGTGCCTCTTTAGGTACCTGACAGGACAGGTTGACAAGAGAACACTGGAAAAGTACGAAAGAGAAGCAAAAGAGAAGAACAGAGAAACATGGTTAGTTTATTAGTTCAAGTGTATTGTTTGGTTTAGAATTCTCCTAATCATACTCAGGACAAAAAGAGAATTGTTTTCTCTGTTATCCCATTGGATAGGCTTTTACTAAAAGTTCCCAGCCCAAAATTATTCAGCACTCTATATGCACTTATGCTCTGTCTAATATAAAAAAAATTGTTAAAACTCTTTCATCAGCTTTACCCCTCTTCAACTCATGAATGTCACTTTATCTAAAAGCAGAATGAATTTTTTCAGGGAGATGAAAATTCTTAATGTTATCTGTAAGAAAGAACATTTGAGGTAGAGACAAGCTTTCAAAATATGGCTGAGAGAAGTCATTTTGAACAAAGTCAACAAAATTGTTGTAAAATAAGTTTATATTTAGACAGAATGATTTTAAAGGATCTTGACTTGTCCCTGGGAGTATTTTCCATCACCCTTATGCTCAAAAAGCTATTTGACTTCTCAACAGTACTCAAAAAAAGATGGTAGCCTGGAAAGTTGTCCTTCTTGTCCTAGGCTGTTGAACAGCATTTTCATCAAGCTTTAATACATTGTAATACTGATATTCATGTAGGTACTTATCATGGGCATTGGACACAAATCAAGAGGAAAGAGATAAGGTATGGCAACAGTGTATACATTCAACACTCTGTGGCGTACGAAAAGGTTCTTTCTGAAGCCTGGATGATTCATAAGTGAAACAGTATTAATTCCCTGATGTAGTCTATGCTCAGCTCCAGGAACATTCGAATTTCGTGACATGAACCATTGGGGTTTTTGTGTACCCATTGGGATTCCCATTTTGTATGAGCAAATGTGTGCATTTTTATCAGGGCACAAACAATTTCACAACAGTTAATGATATTCCAGGGTTTGGTGTAATGACCATTTTACTCCCATTGCACTGTGTACCATGCATTTCTTTCAATTTGGGCTCTGACAATATGTTACTGAATCAAAGGATATTTCTCTATTCTTGTCATGTCTCTGCCTGAAGATGTAGTGTTCAGGATAAATTCTTTTTTTCTCACCGCTGGGAGTGGAAGGGATCATGAAATTGTGCATCAGCAGTTAGCATGAAATTGTTGGTTTTCTATTCATAACTTGATGAATTGTTTCTTTTATTGCTATCTTCTTTAGGGTAAAACAGTTGAAGTAGGGAGAGCTGCATTTGACACCCCAAACAAACATTTCACATTACTGGATGCACCAGGACACAAGAGCTTTGTTCCAAACATGATCAGTGGAGCAGCACAAGCTGATCTTGGAGTACTGGTGAGTACTATGATCAAACATATTTGAAGTCTTTTAATGGAAGAAAATGTTAAATAAATGACAAATGAAATGCTTGGTATAAAAGACAGGTAAGAAGTATTGGTACATGTAACCCGCTGTAAAATCTCTGGAAGTGCCTAAAATTTAGCTTAAATGGTTAACTTCTGTCTATTTAGTAGTGAATCTACTTCACTGTTTCTCATGATTTCTCTACAGTTTTTACATATTTTTGACACAATTTTATTGCCTGGTAAGAATATAATTGTATATATATATATACATTTGAATGAGTGTCAAACCAAATATAGGGCCGATTCTTTTGTGTTAACAACTGACTTGAAAACGTAAATTAGCCACCGTAAAAGGTAAAAAAGCTGACATTTCAAGCATTAGCCCTTCATCAGAGTGATTGATTATTCTCTGTGCAACATCTTTGTTATGTTAGGTCATCTCTGCCAGGAAAGGAGAGTTTGAAACTGGTTTTGAAAAAGGAGGTCAAACGAGGTAAAAGTTTACTGCACAGTTGTGTTTATGATGGCTTAGCTCTCGGTAGCCACTGACTTGATTATTTTTACTTTTCTTTGCTGTCTTTTTTCCTTCTTTTTTCAACCCTATTTCCTGATGAGTATTGCTATTTCTTGGTTTCTCTCAGAGAGCATGCTATGTTGGCCAAAACAGCAGGGGTAAAGCATTTGGTTGTTCTTGTCAATAAAATGGATGATCCAACTGTGGAATGGGATAAAGGAAGGTTGGTGCCTCTGATCTCTGGAATGCTTTAATCATTTATGGTCTGTTCAACACTTCCCAAGCCACTCTTTCATTTTATTGCCAGCTTTTGGGAGGTTTACCTTTGCTAACATTCAACTGCTTCTTGCACATCTTTAAGGTATGAAGAAATCCAAACAAAGCTGACTCCATTCCTTAAGAAAGTAGGCTTTAACCCAAGGACAGGTAAATTGTAATTTGCTTTGTTAGCAACAATTTTTCCCATGCCTCTTTTTAAGTCCATATATGTTTTCTCCCACAGATGTCCATTACATGCCTTGCTCAGGATTGACAGGTGCCAATCTCCGCAAAAGGCTTGATCCTGAAGAATGCAATTGGTTCAGGTGAATAATAAGAATTCCTCTTTGACCCTAAGTCCCTCCTCCACACTTCAGTTCTGTTAAGTACTTGTTCCAAGCAAACTGTTTTTGAATAACATTTGAAGGAATACATTGTAAAATGCAAAAATTGACTTTTGATGCCATTTTTGTTGCAGTGGTAAATCTTTTTTGGAATATATTGATGAATTGCCATCATTGACACGGTCTGTTGATGGACCACTCAGAATACCTATTTCAGAGAGATACAAGGTAAGTAAATTCAACTGTTTTATCATGTTGGTCCCTTTTTGTAGGTAGGTTATTGTTGGTACGGAATGAACACATAAGACTCCAGATCTTGTTGTCAGTATTAAAGTGCTTGTGTAGCAGCTAGTAACTGAGCACACAGTTGGGATGCTATCCCTGGTAACCTGTCCCACAATTTCTGTGTGAGCCATTTTTATAGATAATGACATTTTTTAAATGCAATTTGGTGTCAATAAGCACAAGTAAATTTTCAAAGACAACAACAAGCTTGTAGGTCACCATCAAATTTCACTGGAAATCATGTGTTACTTGTTAATAATAAGCACAAAAAATGCATCACAGAAAGTCAAGATGGAAAAATTGTGGCAGCATGAGCACTTTTTGTAATTTACACTGGTTGTACAACTTTTCACTTGTGTTATGTGTATTTGTTTTCAGCCAATCAGATGCATGTTTTCTTTTTCATGTATATTATCGTCTCTGTTACACCACTAATCTTTAGGAGCTTGTTAGCATGGTTACTTGTACATTGATGTTATAATTGTTTTGTTGATTGTGACCTCAGGACATGGGAACTGTGGTACTCGGCAAAGTGGAATCTGGAAAACTTAGTAAAGGCGAGACATTACTCTTGATGCCCAACAAGGTGACATAAATTTTCACTGCATTAGTTAATGTTGCTGTGGATCAATTTTTTTTACTTGTTTAAAATGATCTATCCTCTAGCTTTATATCATGAAATAAGAATGCTGAGGTTTTCTTTTTCTTTTAGCTGTTGTATTTGAATAAATGGAAGAAGAAAATTTAATTGGTAGGATTGCTAGTGGTTTATTTTTGAGCACACTCCAAGGGAATTGTATGCAATCTTCTGATCATAAAGTTAACTGCACAACTCATTTCATACAGGTCTCTGTAGAGGTGTTAGGAATCATATTTGATGAAGAAGAAAGAGGTGCAGCAGTGGCTGGTGATAATGTTAAACTTAAGCTAAGAGGAGTAGAGGAAGAGGTAAACTTATAATATTTTTGTCATGATAGAGCAACTTCTTACTAGACCTGTTAAAAAACTGCGACAGAGTTTGCCGTAACAACGATATGAATATATATACACACTCAGCAGAGGGCATTCATGGTTTGGAGAAAATAACTTTAAACATAAATTTCTATAATTGTTCTGATTATGACTAATTAGAGGAGCCAAAAAATGTTTGCTTATTCCTACAGCTTAACCCTTTAACTCCCAGATCAAATTTGAAATTCTCCTTACAGTCAATCATTCAATTCTTATAATATTAGTTGAGAGAATTTAGTACTGGTTCAACTAATTATCCCCAAATTGATATTTTTCTTTGTTCTCATCACTTATCTGGTTGATATTGTATTGATACTGTATGGAGAAATTCTGTCTTGGTCATTCATGGGAGTTAAAGGGTTAAATTTGGTGTTTGTAATACAGAGGTTGTTGTAAGAACCATGTTTCTTTTCCTTTGCTAACTTAGCAATGTAATGGTAATACCATATTGTTTTTTGCCACAACCACAAGACACTTTTCTGTTCCCTATAAGGTGTTTCCCTATCTAGTCCCTGTGATTACCCTGTCTGCATTCTCTGTCCTTCAAGAGTCCTGTCTTTTTTTTCTCAATGGAATGATTTAAATTCACGAGCTTCAGTTACTTACAGTTACTTCTCACAGTTGACTTGGATGCTTTTTTGCGTTACAGGATGTCTCACCAGGATTTGTTCTCTGTTCACCAGACAACTTATGCCACACTGTTAAAACATTTGAAGCTCAGGTTTAGTATAGTGTATTTTTATCATTGTTATTTTGGGTCTTTATTACTCTTCATTGTGAATTCCTCATATTTGATCCAAGACCAGGTTTCAGGCCTAGTTTGATCAAGGCACTTAACTCTCATAGAACCTCTTTCCTTTTGCACCTTGTTCAGATTTTAAATCGTTTTTTTTTTTTTGTTTTTTTTTTTTTTTTGGGGGGGGGGGGTGGGGGAGAAGGGGTTAAGAGAATCCTCGCAAGCATTTTTTGGAAGGATGATACGTATGTTGGATTTTATCATAACGAAACCAAGAGGTCAAGTTTTCCAGTAATGACAGTCTCATGCGTTGATAATAAGGGTTAGGTATGAAGAAAGCTTGAGGGAGAAAGTGGAGTTTTCAAGGGTTTTCTTTGGAGTGGAGTTTCATTTTGCCTTCCATTCATTTGTTTGCTTCATAATTAGGTTGTTATTCTTGAGCACAAGTCCATCATCTGTGCTGGTTACAGTGCTGTTTTACATATCCACAATGTCGTAGAGGAAGTTACTTTCCAGGTAGGTTATGTGTATTCTGATGAATTTAATCTTAAGACTTACCATCTGTTTTGATGTTGACCAAGTTGGAAAGCTCTGTTGGTTTGCCGTCACTGTAAACAATTACTGTTTCTATATTTTCAAATTGTTTATCAAATTGAGGATTTTCATAAAGACAAATTTCTCTATTGTTGGCCAAGAATGATTTTCCGAAGATTTTCGCTGATAACTGAGGCCTCCAAAATTGCTTCCTATATTAACCAGCTCCTCTAAGAAGGAATTACCTTTAAAAGCTTTTTGATTCCTTTTTATTTTCAGAGAAAGTTTGTAATGTACAGAGTAGCCAGCACAATCACTCAAAACTGCAGTAAAGAACGTGTTTTTAACAACGATATTTCTTTCTTCTGATTATTTTCGTTGTGAACTTATTTTTGTAGATTCTAATAGCATTAATTGACAGAAAAACAGGAAAAAGACAGAAAGGAAGACCGAGATTTATCAAACAAGACCAAGTGGCTGTAGCGCAGCTTCAAACATCGGGAGTTGTGTGCATCGAGAAATTTGCCGACTTTCAACAAATGGGAAGATTTACACTGAGAGACGAAGGTAACGGCGATATGGCATTAATATGGAATTTTTACTGTTAAACAATGTATTGTGCATCAAGTAAAGCAACGGTCCTCGCAGATAAGTTGTAGAAATTGCAGAAAAGAGGCGTGGAAAAAATTCAAGCTTCGACGAGATGCAAACCCGTGCCTCCCAGATATTAGCTGGGCGCCGCTATCAACTGAGCTAAGAGGCCACGCATTGGGAGAGAAGCAAATTTTAGAAGGGTATTGTGCAGTTAGAAAGTTTTGATTGGCTCATCAATTGTGGTGTATATTTTTTAATCCGTTTATTTTCTTTATTGGCTTATTTATTTGCTTATTTATTTGCTTATTTATTTATATAAATATTTATTTAGTTAGCTATTTAAGTAGATATTTATTTTGCTTTCCTCATTTACTTTTAGGCAAAACCATTGCTATCGGAAAAGTTCTGAAGCTACTATCTTAAACAGGGTGAATAATACAGCCTGATGAATTAGGGAATTAAAACACATCTCCAGGAAGAACTTGCGAAAATGAATGTCACTAAATAAGTGGAGCGTGAAACACTTTTATGTCGTCCAAAACAGCCCTCAAAAAAAGAGAGACAATTTATATCGTGGATAAGATTTGATATCAAGCCAGATGTCGCCTTTGTATGCCTGAGTCAATTTTAAGCTTCATTCTCATGCTTCGCTCTCAGCCATGAGGAGGAAATTACATTGGAACGACGATCCTTGTGTTTTGTTGAACTTCGCAAATAGAAGATTATATGGTTAAGAAATATCTGGAGACGTAGGGAATTGGAGTCGTAGTTTCTTGTTAAGAGTCGGGAAATATCCAAAAGATCCAGGAGATCACTTATAAAAATAATTCGTTGCCACACAGTGCAATTTTCAATTGACTATCGAAAGTGAACCGGGGTTGCATTGTATTGATTTCATTGCGCTTTGTGATTGGTCGAGAAAATTAGCGCCAAAATATTTGCCACTAATGGATAGAATGTGAAACTTATATCATTCCAGACACTATTATAACACAGCGGTAAAACGTCGGTGCATGTAAGATCGCTGTGAAAACCAAGTTGTCTCACACGAGTTACATAAAAAGAAAACACACATACACACACTAACCAGTAAGTCATGGTGTTTAAATCATTCAACTTTTATTGCAAAGCTCAAACTGAATGGTAAATTTACAAGATACCCGTCCTTAGGTTATCCTTCTCCGTACTTTTTTCCCCCTTTTAAGATTTCTATTTCTTATGTTCCCCTTTGATGATATTGTGCGCTGGAAATTGATGCGCGGCCTGTCAGGATTAATACCCTCGCGCTTGCCTGACGTTTGACTGCTGTGTTCACTGTTACGCGAGCTGTCTTGCGCTTGAGACCAATTGCGTGCATTTGCTTGAAGTTCACATTGCCTTCTTATGGAATTTTCCTTGCCTCTGATTGGCCGATGTTGATTGCTTTGGTTGTGTGACGCTTAATGGAACTGCGCTAGAGGTATTTTAAAACTGTGCTATTCTAAATGTAAGAAATGAGAGGTTTGTTAACGCAACGAGCGTGATTCTGTGTTTGAAGTGTAAATCGTTGAAATACACTCGTAGGCTATCAATTAGTAACGAGCACTCAGTGAGGTAAATGTTTATGTCACAGAAAACGACTTCGTCTGCTTATCTGTTCTGAAAATTTCCCAGTTGCGATGTATATTTCTACAGTGTTTTATTTTTCTCTTCTAATTGAAAAAAAAAATGAATAAATGTTATTTAATCAATGTTTGTCATCTTAGTCTCCCTTTGGCACGCCCGTGTCAAGGCGAAAAAGAACATCTCTTTGTTCCACAACCAAACTAGATATATATTATCTTTTTATTCTATTTACGCACATGACGTTTCGACATTGCAGACTGATTTTGATGGTATGCTTAACGTGTGTTAGATATGAAGATGGTTCTGGTACAGCACACCATAGAATCTCTGATTCAGTGGTAGAGCATGGGAGCAGAGAGGCTGGGGGACTGAGGGTCGATTTTTTTCACAGGCACTCAATTTGTTTTCCTTTCTTCTAAGCTCGTAACAAGACGAAAAACAAATCCCTCTCAATAAGATTTTGGTTTGCTATGGACGAAAACAGGGGAAAGTAAGCCGCCTCGTGTGTATGGGTAGGGTTAATCCCACAGAGACCCTTCGGACGTCAGTTTGGACGCGACAATCGTAAATGAAACTTGGCAACCAAGTTGAATGACAAGGATTTCGACCAAGGGTAGAATTATCATCGATCCTTTTTTCTATGAATCCTCTCACCGTCTTCCGTGATCGTCGCACCTGCGCCCAAAAGTAGCTTGTACATTGCCGTCCTGGGAGACGCTCCCCAGCGGAGGGTACATGGGTGCTTTGGCCGGCTAATTAAAGCCCCTTATTTATGTGCGTTTTTTTTTTTCTAGAGGGGAAAGGAGTGTTTTGACTTTGACAGTGTCAATTGTCGTTGCGTAGTGGCATGAAAGGAGAAATGGGTAAAATTTCCGCACAGCCCCATACTACATTATGCATTCAGTTCTTGGATTGAGAAAACAATGACAAAAACAATAGATTGCCATTGGGAAAACAGATTTGTTTTACAATAGTATGGGGCTGTGCGGAAATTTTACCGAGAAATGGCCCTGCCGTCTCCCAGAGGGTTATTGACTCTTGTTACACGAAAGGTAGGCGAGAAATAAACTTGAATAAAAAAGTAGAGATAATTTCAGTTCGCCCCAGTTTCCACTCTTCGTGAGGTTGCGTCAGCCGACTTTACTTGCCTATGGCGTCGAAGCTTGTTGGGGTCTAACGTTTTGTTTCGGTATGAAAAGCAGGGGTGGGAACAGAAAATTCCTCTTCTACACCGTACACTGTTCCATTGTATTTTTTGGTCTTTTCTTTTAACGAAAAAGAGACAAAAAGTGGACGTAAAAACGCCAACAGCAACAAGTGACTTGCATTATATTGCATTGTGGGAAGGAAGGGAATCGCTGAATCAGCCGTGCGCATGTCATTAGCGTGTTTTGTTATTGTTGATAAAATTTATGAATTCGACTTGCCACTTCTACAGAAAGCAAGAAAACTGGAGTGAAATTCTTCAGTATTACTGATGAATCTTGCTGCTTATGGCGGGGATCCAACAGGAAACTTACTCTGCGTCAATTTTAATCAGGACTGTAGGTAAATAAGCCTAGAACTTGACGCCAAAAGGCTCCGTTTCCAAAACTGTACAACGATTTTTCATAATAATTTGATTGTCGATCTTTTGCATCTTTTCCTTACGTAGTTCTCTGGCAGTTGGCTCAAAGGCCGGATACAAATTGTTCTCTTTAAATTCTGTGGAAAAGTTGGAGGAGATATACGATTATGGTGGGTAAACTGTTAGTGATATGCGAGGTTGAGTTTAAGGTAAATGTTAGCAATGTCGTCATTTTCCCCTAATATTTTTGTGGCGGATTTCTTATCATTACCCACAATTAGTTTTAAACCTTTCTGTGATATCAGTGATTAAGAGCGTCTCTTAGTCTAATTGTGAAGCGGTGTCTTCCGAAAGGATTTGATTGCGTGAGATGCAATAAAATCGTTAAAACCTTCCAAGACAGTCACGTACATTCAATCAGCTGATTTTACCCATATCTCTCCTTTGTTCACAAATTTTGCTTAACCTCTCAGTTATTTCTTGTGTCTCTCTCTTTTGGAAAATTCTTAAGGCTATCCTTTCCCATTTTCAATGAAAGGTCACTCTAATCTTCGCGAATGACCCGAAAATAAAAATTGTTAGGATCTAACCACTACAAGCTATATATCGATGAAAAGCTTTGGTAGATTTCGATAAAAATTAAACTACATTGTTGTTATTCCCATGGCAAGAAGGAAACGAGTGCACAGTTAGACGACCAAACGCCATCCCGTTGAATTAATTGGATTTTATACATGACCTTTGATGTCAAAGTTTAAGTGTACAGAATTAACCCTGAAAAGATCAATCTCTAAAAGTGTGTGGGCATTTCCCCATATTTGGGTTCGTTTTCATATCATTGATTTAGCAAGCTGCAGCTTTAAAAGAAATTGCAAACATATTGCATTCTGAGGCTGCTAGGAGGACAGTATTTGATGAAACAAAAATTCTTACATACCTTTTTCCTCATTGTTCAGTTGATGTTGTTAAAAATTATGTCATGCCCTCTCGGAGTGTGACATCACATTGTGAGCCTCCAGCAATAATATAATAGAACACAAGACATAAACAGCAAGTAAAAGGGTCCTTAATGGGAAAGTGATGGTCATAATAAGCTCCTGTAAGCATGCTTGCAATAGTGAGATATTGGTAATTATGCTTTTGCCAATCTTTGAAGTCAGGCAAACCATGAATCCTTGTCACCCACAGTAGGGTATAATTTATTTTGTAACCAAAAAGAGCTAGTAAGCTGAAATAATATCCACAGGTGAATTATTTTGCTCCAGAAAGTTTTCTGGTAATTTATCAATGGTCACATGCAGCAACTTTCTTTAGGATGGTACCATCTGTTGAATAACAAGGTAAACCTTTTCTCTTTGATTTCTAGCTGAGACAGAAGACATTTGCATAGTAGAAAGACTATTCTCCAGTAGTCTTGTAGCCATTGTCAGTTTATCTGCTCCTAGAAAACTTAAAGTCTGTCATTTTAAGGTAAGAATGAGACTTATTTAGCAAACACTTACAGAACATACACAATACAAAAGAATCAATAAAGGCTATGTTAACCTTTGATTATTAATAGTAATATGTTTAGTTTTGATTAGTCACTGCAGGCTTAAATTCATGGTCTGTAATGAATACTGACACTTCCTTGTTATCTTTTTATAGAAAGGAACAGAAATATGCAACTACAGTTATCCCAACACAATCTTAGCAGTCAGGCTAAACAGAGTGGTGAGTTGATAGTATGATGGTAGTTCAGTCAAGCGATAACTTTTTATGAAATCTTTCTTATCATTCTTGTAATCTTCTTTTTAGGAGTCTGCTGGATATTGATCTTGTCTTAAATTTTATAACTGCAAAACTCTATTCTAGAGTGTAATGGAAAAAATTGTCTGCCCTGTTATGGGTATTCAAGACATGCTAACAGTTTTTTTGCACTAGAGACCTACCAATTCCATGGAATAAAACCTCTTTTTGATGTCGTACTGGGTAGCTTGTTTTTTCTTTTTTTTAAATATCTTTTTTCCTTTACATTTTAGCGGCTGCTTGTGGTGTTAGAAGAAAGTTTATATATTCACAATATTAGAGACATGAAGGTAAGCTAAAAAACAGAAGACTTAATAGAGAGTGTAATGAAATTGTATGAAGATGGTTGGTAGCACTGGTATGGTTGTATTTCTAGGTTTGAGAGGGGTATTGTTTCTTAACATGTAAACCTTGTTACTGTGAAATGAATAAGATAGTTCTTATTATGTATCTCAGTGTGTGCTATGATTAGTCAAGTTAGCAGGCCATATTTCATTGTATGGCTCACTAAATTCAAAAGTTGGTGCAAAATGAAATATTTCCACTATATTTGAAGCTAGAGGAGTAATAAATATCTAACTAACCTTGTTTTCCTTGGTCCATACTATGAGTTACAGAACCTTCTTTTTTTCTCATTTGAATTTATGGCCTGCACGCCTTGCACTTGGGCCATAAATCCAAGTGAGAAAACTGTTACTGTCCTCAAACTTGGTTAGTTAGAGGTATTTATAAACATCCATGTCAGAGAGCCAAAGTCACCCCTAAACCTTACTATAAAGATGAAAAACTTTCTTCTGACAGTGCCTCTTCATCATCCATAGGTTCTACACACAATAAGAGATACACCTCCTAATCCATCAGGTTTGTAGAACAATGTCTTAAAATTCATTTATGAGCTGGGCAATTTTGGAAATAAGTTTGCAGTATTGCAATTGTACTACTGTTCTGACATTTTTTCTTTCATTTGGTGGCTCACAGACTGAATCTTACAACTAAAGGAATCTTTCTCAAATCTCTATTTTCCTAGGTCTATGTGCCCTCTCTGTAAACTCTGATAATTGTTACCTTGCCTATCCTGGAAGCAATCAGGTATGCTGAATATGACCTTCGCTGTCAGTAACTTTTGCCATAGTCAGCTGTACATAGTGAAATTGGTAGTTGTGCCCAAAAAAAGGGGCTGTAAGGTGAAAGGCAAACAAGAGAGTCCATTTGCAAGCAAAACAGACAACATAACATGTCTGAAAGGGAGCAGTAGACTGCCAGTAACTGGCTTTTATTCAAGCCTCTGAACACATGCTCCATAGTGATGAAAAACAATTGCGCTCACATCTAAATGTAGTATTTAACTTTGTGTATCATCTAGTGCGTTCAAATTATGATTAAAAATGTAATAAATTTTGCTTATGTTGTAGATTGGTGAGGTCCAGATATTTGACTGTGTAAATTTGGTAAGAAATCATCAAGATAAATAACAAAACTGACATAACCTTAAGTCATTTGATACTATTATAGAGTGAAAGACCATACAGTCCAGGCAGTAGTGTGCCGCTAGGCTTTATATCTCACACCCTTGTGGCACAGAACAACCTGAATGTAATGTCAATCAAAAGTCTTGGGATTATGTATAATATACATTACTTTTAATTGATTGTCAGTGGGGCTCTGACTCATACTGTCAGCTTAAGAAACTCTTTACAGTGACCAAGGTACATTACCAACTCAGCTGATAAAACCAAATTTTTTTCAATACAACCCACCAATGCAGCCCAACTGTGACAGCTTCTCTAGAAACTTACCCCCATTTGACCTTTGACCATGTTTTAATCACATTATTTTACAGCGGGCAGTAACAATGGTTCCTGCCCATGACTCTCCTGTAGCTGCTATGGCATTCAACTCTGCTGGGACTAAACTATCAACAGCATCAGAAAAGGTGGGCTTATTTAATGGGTAAAGCTTCAGGCAATACTTCAATAACGATTACTTTAATTGGAAGCTCTTGCCTGGAAAAGATGTTACCCTTAGATGAAACAGAGACTACGAGCATTCTCTCCTTTGTGGCCAGAGATCCCTGTGGTGCGCTAACAGCAATTTTTTTTTTCGCCGATGTTTTTTTCTCACACGACAGACTTTGCCAGAAAGGAGGGACGGCTCGTAATCTAGATGGAACATTTCTGCTGAGTCCATCCCCAAAGAACTTTGTTCTAATTGCAGTAGAGAAGAATTGTCATGAATCTAAATTTTATAAATACATCAACAAGGAAACATGATCAGAGTCAATACTTGTGGTTAATGACTATCAGTTAATTTAGATAGACATTTAGATGTGATTAACTTCTTTCTCTTTAGGGAACAGTCATCCGAGTGTTTGCAATTCCTGATGGAATAAAACTTTATGAATTCAGACGAGGAGTGAAGAGGTAAAAGCCATAAACTCTTGGATTTATTTCATATTTTATGGGCAATAAAGGTGTCAGGCTGTGCTAACATACTTCCGTGTCTTTTCTTTTCAGGTGTGTAACCATCAACTCGCTCGCCTTTAGCCATGACTCGCTGTTCTTGTGTGCGTCAAGTAATACAGAGACAGTACACATTTTCAAGCTAGAAGCTCCGAAGAAAGAGTAAGTAATCCGTTTGTGTTAAGAGGAAAAAAAATAGCGTGTTTTTAAAGCAGATTGAATCTCTCTAGCGTGTGTACTGCCCTGTGCAAGGTTTATTGTTACCTCTTGTCCATCGCTGCCGATTAGAACGTTTACCTGGACTGAGTTTACCCTGCTGACTGTAACTCCCAGTATGTCCACATTATTACTTTGAACTTTTCCCCCTCTCACGAAATTAAGATCCCGCCGTGTTAAGATTCCAAGAAAGCTGACGGATGTTTTTAAAAAGATATTTTAGTAGTGAAACTTAAAACAAGCGCGATTAAAAATCGTCCTTTTTCGCGGAAGGACTTTTGATATAAGCTAGCACACTAACTACATTGCATTTTTGTCTCTTTGTATAATTTGACTTCAGGCCTCCGGACGAGGCAAGCGGTTTGATGGGTTACTTTGGAAAAGCGCTCTCCCCCAGCAGCTATCTCCCAGTACATGTGAGTATGCGAGATGGTAAAGTTTTGGACAACTTGATCATGCGGTAGAATGTGTGTAACGGGTATGGAGTGAGAGACTGAAGGCAGTGGTCAGAAGTGATTTAAGCATATGTGGACGCAACCTCGCAATTAAAACGAGCAAAATGATGTTTGTTGCAAGTTCACTAACTTTCACATTATACAGGTCGCAGAAGTGTTCAACCAAGAGAGAGCTTTTGCCAGTGTTCGATTACCACAAGCAGGTATGGAAGTAAAAAAAAACAACAACAACAACAACACAGAATTAACACACTGTGGCAGACTCCACATCAAATACAACTTGAACTTCGTTCCTATTATAATGCATTCTTCGTAACTGATGCCCAATCCAAAAAAAGGTACATACGGTACCCCTTTATGTCAAAATGAAATTACTCCATGTTCCGTACTCGGTCCAAGAGTACTTCTGTTAGAAGAGGACGACCCATAGTGGCACTGCATGGCTGATAACCAACTTTTCGCGGGCTACCTCTTACTTTTCCAATGGCCCCGGCGCTGTCTGTTGAGGATCCTTTGCAGAAATATTATACTTCTCATATTACATCTGGGAAAGTAAAGTTGTTTTGCTCTTGGCTACCTGATAGACGTCTCCGAAGCCAATCGAGGGTTGTGAATGTTAAGTTTGTGTTCATTCTTCTTCGTTGAGTAATTTTTGGAGTTAATTCAGTTCTTTCTTTTCCTCAAATCAGGTCTTAGAAACGTTTGCGCCATAGCAATGTAAGTGTTTCAAATAAATCCCATTTGTTTATGAAATTGTTTTTTTCTGAATAAAACGTTTGAAGAATTAAATACCAGGAAAACGCTCTATTATCCTGTGTAGTAGCAAATGTAATTCTCCCTATCCCCTACAGGATTGGCAAGCTTCCACGCTTGTTGGTGTCCAGTGCGGACGGTTATCTTTACATCTACAATATCGACCCTGAGGAGGGAGGGGACTGTACGCTGCTCAAGCAACATAGGTGAACTACACAATTTGTTTATCAAGAGATAGTACTTGCCATAGTTGTTGGGTTATGATGGAATAAAATGAAGTATGGTGTCCTATCGTGCTGGTGGGTGTTAGTAGGTTCTCGAGTTCTACTTGTCTCATGAAAGCTTGAACCTACTGTTGATCCTGGTTTAAAAATGGCGCTTCGGGCTTTGCATACAGAGGTGTGGGATTGATTCATGGCCTGGGTGCTGGTGACACGAACACTCTCGCCTAGTCTCTCTCTCCACCCATAAGCATAACAAGACTAACAAGAGGCTGTCATTTGCAATGGACTGACTAGCATTCTATACAGGAAGGAAAAAATGTTCCTAGTCGTTTACTGCAGACGAGACTGGAAGAATCCTCGTCCTCGTTAGCAGGTTACATGCAGTATTGAACCTTTTAACTTATAATAATGCTTTTAAGACGATTGCCATGAAGAGAATTCATTTTAACCTGTTTTTAAATGGTTCCTTTGTATCGTTGTTTTGTAGGTTAATTGGTCAAACTGAAGGCCTTGAAAAACCATCGGTAAGTATCTCCTAAGAGAGTGACGCACTAAGTTGTTGTTTTTCGTGTTTCTTTCTTTGTTGAAACAAACTTTATCAAAGCTGAACACTAAAGCACTTCGTTCATACGTAGGAGTCCAAGCTTAGACAGCAGTGGAAAAAAGTTCGTCTGTGAAAAGAACAAAATTAAAATTATGTTTATTCTATTTTTATTCGTAACACTTCTCAGTTTTTTTCATTAGAAATAATAGTAAGAAAGTATCACGTAATTTAATGGTATCTGAGTTAAAAAATCTTTATTATATCGAAGATTTTTGTAAAAATATAAGCTCATAGCTAATTATTCTTCTGTAAAATGGTTTTGTGTTGTTTTGAATAGGAAGAGGAAAGCGCTTCCGCCGAACTTAACCCATCTCCATCGAACAAAGAAGAAGAATCTCAAGATACGAGAGTTCGAGCATCATCACAAAACAGTCAGAATTCTCCAACAACAGGTGTATGTGACCCCACCCAAGCCATGACGGCCTTTGGTGACCTGCAAGGGCCTGGAAACCTAAGATTGGACGATGAGACTGAGTATCCACCGCTGACTGTACACAACGAATAGAGTCTCCGTCAAATCTCTTTCTTAGACGGTCTTCGCTTTCTTCACTTTTTATGCCCAAAACCGCTGTATTCAGCAGTAGATCTGATGCGGACACTTTTTAAACGAAGAAGTTCTTGTAGGATTTCTTGTAGGATTTCTTGTAGGATTTCTTGTACTCTTTTTGGTGTGTTTGCTCTGATTTTCCTTGTTTAACGAAAGAAAATTTTCTCGCAGTCGTCAAGTTTGTTCGCAAGAACAGTGTTCCTTTGAGGATAAGAAGGTAGTAAGGTTTTCAAAGCTATTACATTGCATAGAAATTTTTTTGTAGAAGACAAAGATTTTATGCGTTCTTGTGCGAGTGAGTGTTTTGGGTGGAAGTGTCAAAAGTGATTTTTAAGTTATAAAGTTATACGATATATGCATCTATTTGATTCTTCAAATTCATTGATTAAACAGATCCATTTAACTTTCTGAGTACCGTGAAAATGTTTTCGATGAAGGGAAAGTTAAGGCGATAACACTACGATTTATTGAAGTTATGTTTGTTTTGGTTTCTATTCTCGATGATTTATTGTAGTCAGCTTTCTATAAGCCAGCTGATTGTTGTTTTGTTGGGGATGGGCTGAAACCACGAATTTGGTTCATTACCGATGTATATTATGTCGAAAACACCAGTAGGAAATGATTTGAAAATGAAAACCATGGGAACGGCCCGTATGATATCACAACGTGAAGTAACAGGTGCCATTTGGTCGTTAGCCAATCAGATCAGTTAAATTACGCCCCCCGTGTCCCATCAAATAATACACGAGTTGAGGTGAAGGTCGCCACCTTTTGTCTTGAAACGCCCTACAGCTCCTAAATTGTTAGGGGACTTGGAAGTCAGTGTTCATCCAATCAAGAGAATCCGCAATTTTTCTTGGTGGAAACGGATTTTCTCCTGGCAGCAGCCCCATGATGCAGAAACAAGTTCAGGTGACCAAAGAGTATATCATCAGTTACCCGAAGGAAAATGCTGCAGCGAAGGCGAAGAGGCGAACTCTTCTTCCCACAGATCTCGTAACGAAGGTTGTAATTGTTGAGGGAGGTACACAATCTTCGCTAACAGCGAGCGAACTGGCCGAGATATTAGATATGCAAGTTGGCAATCACACCAAAAGAACCAAGACCACCCAGCTACATTGACTATAAACAGCACACGACATCTTTCACTACCGATTGCTTTTTGTCAATACAAGAAAGGCTACCGGAGACATAACAAGAGTACCAGCCCCCACAATTTGGAAATTTGCTGTATGAACTTGAAGTTAATTTAAATGTAGAAAAACAACTTTGCATATGAAAACTGATACGCAATTCCTTGAACGTATCTTAGCTGTGTTGATCAGTTAATATTTTCTTTTCTTTTTTCTTTTCTTACACTGTTCTTTACGGCTACTTCACTTTAATTGCAACTTTGTTAACATCGGAAAAGGAATTTAAAAAAATTCGCAAACTACAAAAATAATATCTTAAAATTATTCTTTCAGTTAAAAAAAAATACACTGCTATTTTCTCTCATTTGTTATTAATCGTACGTATTAAAGAGCCATTTAAATATTTGATGTGTATCTAGAGACGTCTACTAGTCAATTTATTACTAATGAGAGTTGAGATCCAGAAGTTCGCAAGCGCCTCGCGAGGAACTGCAAATTAGAGATCTTATCGCGTTATACCACCTTAGGTTACAACTTTTGACATCAAATACAAATTAAATCCTGACGATATCAATTCTAACAGTTGCAGTCATCAATAACGTACATGTTTTTCTGAATACTTATAAGAGGCTTCAGGTTAAAGAGGCAGTACGCCTAGGAAGGTTTAATGAAGATCACCCTTAAGGCATGTCTGCTGTTAAGGTGGACGACAAGGACCATCTAATGCTATGCCTATACAATGTGAGGCGTCGTTATCAATGTAGTATTCCCCTAAAAACGTAATAGCATGGGCCAGCTAGGTTCAAGAATAGGTTTACGAGTGCCCTGTGGCCTTGGCAGGTCCATTGTTTTAAATTTACATCAGGTTAATGGCGGCAGGGGACATACACTGTTTTTCTTTCATTTAAGTTAATGGGTGTAGGCAGAACGGCCAAGTTAGTCAAAGTTGGCGAAAATTCTGACAAAATCTTCCATGAATAATTTCGAATTGGAAATGTTTGTTTTTCTTTATGATAATTAGGCGTTTCCCGAATCCATGAGTATCAAGGAGGTGTTTCGTATGACACTCGATACGCTTATTTTCCTGCCACATATAAGACTCAGAAGCATGGATTAGTAAATTAAAATATTTTGCAATCCATTTTACATAAGTGGACAATCTTGGACCTGTGACAGAGTGAATAAGTGAAACGAGTAGAAAGGAAACAGTAGTAATTCTAGCAAGACATTAAAAACCAAACCGATTTATCAAAAAAGGAAAAAAAGACATTTGAAAAGAGGAAATTTTCATTCTTCATTCCTATTCCCTTTATCTTCATTCCAAGTCCTAAGCCCACAAAGCATTAGGGGATTAATTGGATTTTACCTCCAGCCAGCAGGGGAGTCGATAATAACACTTTGGCGATAACTGATATTCGTTCTGTGCGGTTTCCTACAAAACGCAGTCCTCAAACTTACAGATGGTCATTTGCGTAAACTGATATTTTCCCTGCGGTCTCATATTACCGAAACGCGCGGGAAGATGCGATGAAACGTTCTCTCCTTGTGGTGATCGATTGAAGTCATGGGTGATTTGTACCATAAAGCCGCCCGTGATGGAGTTTTCGAACTCCTGAAAACGGCCACGAAACGAGATGCGAACCGAAGGGACGAAGACGGAATGACTCCAGTACACTATGCAGCTAGTTGTGGAAATGTCGAAGCCCTTAGATTGCTGGTCGGAAAGGGGTAGGTCTAACTAAATTAGGCGTTCCTAATTTTCGGAAAGGATTCACTTAACGAAATATTGTAACACTAGCACAAAAGACGGAATGGGGTTTCTTTGACCGTGATAATTTTTTTTTGTTTGAAGAATTTGGGATCAAGGGAAATTAAGAGCTTAAGCTTAGCACCTGCCGAATGGAAGCTTGTGAAATTTGCGGTGTTGTTTATAATATTTGTACCAAAATACATGCAAAATATGAAAAGTTGCAATCATTTAAATCTCATCGAGTTACGCTTCTGCTACTGATTTGCAGTTTCTGTGTGCAGGCAAATTAAAAAGCACTAGAAGAATATCAGACAAAGATTTTCTATCCGTGTCCATTTACGCAATATTTTCTTTTCTGTTAATTTTTAAAATCTAATTGTGTGCATGTTTAGAAAAGTAAATGTGCGAAGTCATTAGATGAAGAGTGAAAACACTCTGCGAGATTTTTAGTTTGGTGATCTAACGAGTGAACAACGACTTGATTATTCATCCGTGTGTAAATTTTTGAGGATAACATTATTGACAACAATGGCTAGAGTTTGTCATCGTTTCCATAAATTCAATAATTTGTTACTCAAATGCCATGCTCCAAACTTAGGAATTTTTCTCTAAGAGTTTTTATTTGTTTTTCACGCAAGTAAATTTCAAATTAAGTGATAGGATTTGGTTTAAATAACGAAGAGTTACGAGTAAATCACATTTCAGATAAAAATTGAGACAAATTAAACTTCGTGTAGTTCTTTGGGTCAAGTTCTAACTTTACTCACAAAACTGTATATCTCCCAATTTAGCAATTTTGAAAGGAATGTAAAGACTTCCTGTTTTCCATTGTTTGTTTCTAACTAAATATTTGGTTTTCATGGAAATTTTCATCCCATATGAGGAGTACATACTTTTTTTTGTTGTCTTCAAATTTTAAAAGCTCTATTTGTTGATAAGTTCCCAAGGCAATAGTTGCCTGTCTATCAGATTTTGTATCCACCATCATTTTACCAAATTTTTCTCTTGTTACCAGTTCTACTGGTATCACTCCTGAGTACAATTTGAAACACTGAGATCAACACAGATAATAGTTTAAAACAGAGGCTACAGTCTTCCATGATTTTTGAAACATGCTAGATAAATGAAATAAAATGTGGAGACCTGTTGGCCCACCTCAACTTCTGGTCATTTTTAAAACAAGACAGCCTTGCCATCAGAACCATATTTCTCAATTAAGTGGCAGGAAATGACATTAACAATAATAATAATGATAATAATAATAATGATAACTATAACAATAACGATAATGATAATGTGGTACAAGTAGGTTCGAATTTGCCCCCTGGCTGGCTTTTTGCAAAACATTCAATTTCATGATGCCCCTCTCCATGTACAAATGGGTATTGGTGATAGTCAAGAAGGAAAGGTGATCATGAAATGCTAAAAGCACCTATCGAAGACAAAAAAGTGGGATAAACCTAGGATACCTTACCTAAGATGGTGAGCCCTTTATTCTGGCTAACTGATAAAATTGAACCCTGATTTTCAGAGGAGAGCCTGACAGAGCAAACCAGGATGGGGCAAGTGCTGTGCACCTGGCTGCCAGCTGTGGACAACTCAACTGTTTGAGTTTCCTAACAAACTTTGGTGCGGACATCTGGGCTCTGGACAATGAGGGACGGACACCATTAGAGGAAGCTGCCCTTCATGGGCGTATGGAATGCGTGAGACATTTAGATGGACTTATTGCTATCCACATGATGCGCAATAAGAAAGAAGTAGACAGGCACAGGAGACAAGCTAAAAAAGATATGATGAAAAGGATAAGAAAGCGCGATAAGGACGTGCAACGCCGAGATAATGCTTACGAAAGAAGAGTTGCAAAGGAAACTAGGGTAAGAAGTAAGTCTATGAATGATGACCAGAAAGATACATGGACTGGAAATGGATTGTCTATCCCTCAAAAAAATGCTGAGAAGCAGTTCTCACAATTAACCAATGTTGGCCATTTTCCAGAGCAAGAGAAATCAAATGACAAGAAAAGCATGAAGTCCCACTCTTCAGAGACCTTTCAATTTGGTTCTAAAAAAGGTAGAATGATGGGAGTCTTTCGCTCGAAATTCAGCTCACTACGCAGCTCAAAAGATGAGCCACAAATTATTAATCGCAGGTCATTAGAAGATGCCGGCCTTGTCAGGAGCTTTTCTCAGAGTACACCTTCTTTTTTGGATCAGTTTGAGTCAAAGGCAATTGAGAATCAACACCAGAGTTTAGCTTCAGATTCTGTTGATCCCTATGAACTTGATTACTCAGACCTGTCCTTTGGACATGTGGTCAAAAAGTTTGACGACAAAGGCAATGTTACAACACATGTTCATTATGTTCCAAAGAATCCTGCTAAGATGATAAATGGCAGTGTGACAAGCCGCACTAGCCTCAGCAGTCAGTTAAGCTCAAGTAGTCAGCTGAGTTCCTCATTAAATGACATTCGCAGTTTGAAATCTATTGAGCTTGAAGATGCATTCTCTCTGTCGGACATTGAAACAGAAAACACAAGAAATAAAACCCTTGTCACATTTATGGCTTCACTGAACTTGGAACAGTTCACTACATCTTTGATCAATGAAAGAATTGATTTAAGTACTTTATCTCTGTGTTCTGATGATGACCTCAAAGACATTGGCCTCCCTCTTGGGCCAAGAAGAAAAATTCTGGATGCTGTTTGGAAAAGAAATGCAGCTTTGAGTCATCCAGGGCCAATGAGTGACTCAAAAATTTAATCTTATTGAAAGGTTTCAGTGAGCAATTTATTCCGTATTTTCGTTTTGTTTGGCATGTAACTTTTATACCTGTATTTTTCAAGAGTTACAGAATGATAAATTTATTTTGCCTTGCCATTGTCAAGCCTTCAGACCAAAAACCCAGCATGAATTATTGTTAATTTCCCAAGCAAAATACATAATCAACTAATTCCTCATAATGAGGGCATTGTTAATTATTTCATTATGAGTCTGACTTTTAATTGGTACCTTGAAGTTGACAGTTCCAGGTCACAGTGACTTGTGGTATCACTTTAACCCTTAAACTCCCAGAAGTTATTAACATGTAACTTCTCCCTACAATATCCATACATTATCCAGCAAACAGGTAATGAGAATACTCAAACTCATCAGGTAGAAGTTGTTATCTAAATCAAACACCTTATTCTCACAACCTATTAACAATGAAATATGGAGTAGCTTGAGCCGAGAGTTTACAAACAGATCTTGGGAGGTAAAGGGTTAAGAGAAATTTATCTTTGAATAAGTTGTCTTCAAGTTGTTAACTAAAAGAAAGAATTTAACATCAAATCATTCAGTAGAGGCAATGAATTGCAATTAATGAAAGTACATTGACTGCCCAGTGCAGAGTTTTCTGTAATTTCAGCTCAGAAATATAAAATTTCATGAAACAATTGTGTAAGAATATTGGCACATTATTGGGAAAGTTTTAGAGAATTTATGTATATTGAGACTTGTAAAGGAAATTATTGTTTTTCATGGTCAGTTTCTAAATGATTGTAATTTTTAAGTAAAGTCAATTCTGTGACTACAATGACGTTAGCAGATTTAACATTAAGTTTGAATTTTGCTTAAAATGGTTCTAGAATTTGTGAAATCATAAAATAATTAATTAATATTTGAGAAAGGAGTTGTGAACTTGTGAGGCTGCAGTTGGGAGAGTTCATAACATCTTATAGAGAACTAGCATATTAATTAAGAGATTAGAGCACTGTATGCATGGATGAATTTCTCTACTTTCAACAAACACACCCTTTGCTTGTTTTTCTCACACACTGTTAGAGTGGCATGGAAGTTGCTAAGGTGACTAGGCAGATCATCCCTCTAACAGTATGCACTCTCAAATAAAGCTATGTCAAGGGCACTTCCTTTCCCTATATGCCCCTAAGACTGTAAGTCATGTTCATTCCTGACAAGCTAAAGCTCGAATTTGGCATAACATTTAGTCACATACAGATGGGTTAATTTCAGGATGTGGGGAGAAAATCAGACTGCAAGAAATTAATTCTAGATACAACACTGTAAAAGATACTGATAATTATTAATGATAACTACTAATTCTAGCCTTAAAAGATATTGCTGCAATATATGCTAGATTCCAGAAAATAATTAAAGAAATTCACACCAATGTCTGACAGTTGGATGGTACTTTATTGCTTCAGTTTTGAAACAATTAATGAGCATGGACTGTATGTTTACAGGATCAGCATAATAAATATTAACAATACTCTTTGCTGAGATGTGTATCATCAATAAATAAAAAGAAACCTTTCTAAGAGTTTTTCTTTGTCATGGTTTCATGTGGTGGTCTGTAGTTTTCATTACATCTTGCAGAAATCTTACCATTTCATCATCTGAATGGTTAAAAAATAAATCAATTTTTGCACTAATGTAATTATTATCTTTTTAAACTTTTAATCCCATTCAGTCACACTGTCAATAATTTTGGATGGCACTCTCCACTTTCCTAATTTTTCTGAAATTAAAGCCAAATAAGAGGCTGTCTTTAAACTCAAACAACTGTTTTTAAAATAGGGTAATTCAGTGTTATCAACTGATTTGATGACATAAATTGGCTTGTCCAAGCCAAGAAGAAAAAGAGTGCTCTCACAAAGGGCGAACACTTGAAACATCAGCCTTTAAACTCTTTACGGTGGCCAGTTTACATTATCAACTTGATTGATAACTGTGAATTACCTTATCATACTCTCCCACTGACCCAGCACCAGAGTTTCTTTGAAACTTGCTACCTTTATACACGTTACTAAAATAGTCACCTCTGGAGTCAGCATTTTGATGCCTACCTGGTAGTTTTCACTAAATTTTAGCTCAAAATTATTGTTAATTTCTAAAGTTGTCAAACACAGGAAATCAAACAGATTAGCTTGTTCAAAACAATTTTACCTGAAATCATTTAAAACAATATGTAACAACACACTTAACACATTGCATTTCCAATAGGTCATTAACAATTATTTGCTAAAGCGAAGGTGAATAATGGTGGATACTTATTGAGCTGCAAAGCAGCAAGGCAAATATCACACCAAGACTGAGGTGAATAATTTTTTTAAATATATACAACACAGAAACCAACAGATTAGTTTACTTCTGTCAATATACCAACAATTGTTGGAAATTAACCTCTTGACACAGGAATTAGTCTCATCAGCTGATTCAAATTAATAGCCATTTTAAAACAGTTACCTGTACGTATACATTAAAACTCACTTCTCTGGTGAAAAAGTTTTCCACTGGTTAATCCTATCGATAGATTATTTAAAAACTTGCAATTATCACACCTGAACGAGAACAATTTGTATCTGACTTTTAAGAGTTCAACTAACATGACTTTTGGATACAATATTTTAGATCAGCAACCCTGTTCAAAGGAAATTTTTAAGAGTTCAACTAACATGACTTTTGAAGACAATATTTTAGATCAGCAATCCTGTTCAAAGGAAATTTTTCAAACTATTTTTTTTTAGCTCTTTCCATATTCCAGCCTAGAAATTACTTAAAGCCAACATTTTGTTTAACCATCATTGCCAGAATCAATTTTTGTTCAAAGCAAGAGCTCTAGCTCTGTACTTTCCGAAAAAGTCATCACCATTGACATAACAGCCTTGCATGGATCTCTTTCCAGTAAATGACGACCTGCCATGAAGCACTCTCCAGTTACCCATGATGAGTAACAAACCTGGGATGAGTTTGAACCACAGCTGGTTTTCAGGGTCACAGGTAAGTGCAGTGAATGCTTTCAAAGCTTTGTAAAATTGAGCAACGTCCTCATAATTCAAACAGTCCAGAGTTTGCATGTCGTAGTTGTTGAATCTTATCCTAGAGATTGTTCCATTGAAAGGGTCAAGCTCTATGATTGGTCCCTTGGCTTTCAAGTGAAGTTCCTCAGACTTGTATTGGAAAGGAAGGGTTGTTGAGGTTAGAAAATCAAAGGACACCCTGTCATCTTTCTTCAGCTTCTCTGCCACAAAGAATCCATCTACTAACAAGTTCATTCCCCCTGTTCCCTGATGTCCCACACAATGCAGCATCTGAAGCCCAGCTGGATTGGAGAAGTATGTGTTGTCTGTGTGCCCTCGAAGGTAACTTGCTGTGTAGGCAGTGTCAGCATGCTCCAGAACCTCATTGGAAAATTCCCAAAATTTTCCATAGTGTGTTTCCATAGCATGGCCACTTAACTTCTTGGATATTTCTTCAACAGCGTCAACTTTAGTTGGTGTGTTTTCTACAAATGCAAACCCATATTTTATGATGCTTTGAGACAGTGTGAAAAGCTGGTCATCACTCGAGACAACTTTGGTAAAATTAAAATGGTTGGGAACGTTTGTTTCAATAGTGTCTTTATTCCACAAAAACAGTTCATCTATCTGGTCTGGTTTCTTCAACCCTGATGTACCTTGTTCTGTGTGGTAGGAGTGTTGTCTAAGCCATGCCGCATTAAAGCATGTTTCATGGCTGTCTGGCCACTGAACGCTTAAGTAGTTCTCTCCAGGAATGGAAACGTTTATTGGTTTAATATCGAGGGGTACATCTACGATGTTAAATTCTTTCTGAAAAGTAGCGGAGTTGTAACATTGTTCACACTGACAATGATCCCTCAACCAGATGTGGTGGAATTTTGCGATGCTTCCATCTTTCCATCTGATTTTCACAGCTTCACCATCCATGGACGCTGTAGAGATCGCGAGGGTGGAGTGAGGAGAAGATTTCCCTCTGGATTGTGTGCTGGTTCCACGGAACACGATATTTCCAGATCTTACGAAAGCAGGAGACTTACAAGGTATGTTTCTTTGCATACAACAGATCGCTCCCTTGGAAAGTCTATTTATTAAATACCTCATAGTCGACATTTTCCTATGCAGAAGCGGTGAATCTGCTCCTCGCTAGTCAGTTTTTGTGGAGGCAAAATTCAGCTGATCTTTAGCGACTTTGTCGGGTCGATTACTCCCACCATGGCACCTCCTTAGTGTTTGATAACGCGTGCGCGCGTGCGCGCATGATCCGCGCATTTTCAACGAGAAAGTTCATGGCTTTGTGACCACTCCTTATTAAGAGTCGTCATTGGATGAAAACATGGCGGTGGCCAAACGAACGTGGAGATTAGAATTGTAACGTTTTTCGTGCGTTTTGGTCGATTTTTTGAGATCTGAAAGCGATATTGTTATTTTAAATAATGGAAGGTAGAGACAGAGAAGACTTTGATGGAGGAAATGAGTCCCGGGGCTTCACAAACTGGGAGAAACAATGCATTGAGCAGCTCGAGTCCCAACCCGATGTCGACGACAGATCAGCAATTGAAAAAGAACAAGCCTTGCAGCGTTTGAGGAATCTGTTTCAGAACGCAGCAACGGCTTGTGCCCAGCTTTATAAAGGTTAGGCTTTTGGGGGTAAATTCGTTTGAGTTGTGTAGTCCCTTAAGATCCAGGTTATGGCGACGACGAAATCTAACATGTTGCTTGTATTGTTCTCTCTATGGCAGAGCGACAGAATCGGAGCCAAACTTATGATCGTTTATGGAGCCCTTTCCAAGACACTGCAAATACTATAACGCTTCTTTATAAAGGTATTTTATACAGGACTATTTGGTGCGTACGCTTTGAAACAGAATCGCAATTTTGAAGCGCAAGAGTTGGGTTTTACCGCTACGCAACTTATCAAAAGTTGCATCGGATCCCCTTCAAGAATTGAAGTTAATTAGAATTGCAGTGAGAGTATATTTTTAAGGACTTACGGTCTTCATTGTTTGTCTCTACTACTTCTAAGAAATCTTGCGCGAATAAGTGTTTGGAAAGCTTTGAAATTTGATTGTTTTAGTGGATACAACGAGAATTCGTTAGATATTTGGACTTTGTGCGGCAATAAATGTCGTAATTTCTTATCTGACTTTCTTCTGCCATGGTTCACGGTAGGGAAAAGTAGATGTGTTTTGAATTGCTTAGAAATAGCATGGAAATTATGGCCGGTTTGTTTTAAGAAGATCTGGCAAAGTTGGTCAATTTTGTTTATATTGAGAGTATTGCATTTCCAGATATTATTGTAATCCTTCTTGAAAACGACTTTGAGAATGAATAATCGTCTAATTATACGCTACGTCGAAAACCAATTGAAACGGTCTTATGGCTGTGTCAAGCGACGATGCAATCGGAAATGCCAGCGTTCCTTTTCTTTCTAAGGATCATGAGATGTGAAAGGTTTTCATGCAGCATTCCACTAATTATTTGGTGCGAACAGTATCTCTGTTTCAGAAAATGTTTTTGAATGAGCATTGCGATTTTTAATTATGGTTGATAGGGTATAAAGAAATATTTAATTTGTCAAAAATGTTTTTTCCTTATTGAAAATTGGTTAATTTTTTAATAGTGAGGAATTCAGATTAAAAAAATAACTGGTAATATCAATTTTCATCGCAAGTAACAAAAAAGAAAGTGTGTGATACTTTTTTACCTTGTAGTGAACAAATTTGAGAAGCTTGGTCAGAAAAAAAGTAGTCAGTAACTGAAAGTTAGTCATTTCAGCAAATATTTGAGTGCCTCTGTGAAGGTCACAATGTAATAAAAAGTGTAATTGATATTTCTTTTTCAGATGGTGCTGATGCTTATAAGCGCGGCTTGGACTTGGGCTTCCAGTCTGGATATCAAAAGCGCAGTAAAGATGTCCTTTCTTGGGCTAAGAAGAAAAAGAGAATTATTCTTCGTGAGGAGTTGTTGTCATATTTGGCTGGCCGTTCACCTCCAAGACGGAATCATGAGGCAAGACACACTTCAAGTACAACGTTAGGATCAAATTCAATGGTTCTGCCATCTGGAATGGACTCTGATATTTTAGACACAGATGCACAGTACTATGGGACACCTCTAGATACCTTTACCGTTCGACCTGAACTTAATACAGCTGCTTACCTCTCTGCTGGTGGGGGCCTGAATTCTTATCATAGTCCTCGCCGCAGAAGCCACTCTGACACAAACTTTGGCGATACTGAAGTTAGAGAAGGAAGAAAACGATCAGCATGTTCAACAGACATTGTTATGGAGTCGCCTTCACACAAACGAAACCGCTACTACTAAAGAGATTGCCATAAACATTATTTGTCCATAAATTTTTCCAAAATAACAGTACGAGATGAAAACAAACTACTATGTTACTGGGAGATTGAAGTTTCAGTTTTGTAAAGCTTTTGGTAAAGTTACCAAGATTAACTGAATTGTGCTGTGTATGATGAAAATGATTATAGTAAATAGTGTGTTGAAATACTATAAACCTGTTATCACAGCAGTCTTTCTTCTAAAACAAGCATTCTGAGACAGAAGCTCATACCCATACCCAATGAGTCGCAACTACTTATTGGGACAAATAACTTGTTTAAGTTCGAGCTTCTCTCTTAGATACATCTGTTTCAATAAGTTTTGAAGTAGACAGCAAAAACCACAAAGTTGGAGGCTAATAGAAGTTCAATCTTTAGTCTCATGTTGTTAATCTGAAAGAAAATAGTAGGCAATTTAGTTTCATATAAAAGGCAATTTTGCTGGTGGCAAGCTCTAATTGAAACCTTGTGTATTTCAATAGTAGCAGTAACTGCAAAGGAAGGAAGCTGTAAGGTAAAAAATGATTTTATTTAACCTTTGAAACACGACAAATAACAATTGATGATTTTACTGTCCAAACAAGACAAATCAATGGAAGTGAGGATCAGCAGTCCATCTTCTAGTTACTTGCTCCCCTATTTAAAAGCATGAAAAAAACTTTTATCCAAATAACAAAGCTTCAAGCTGAAAGTGCACAGCTTTACCTTCAGTGCAATGCTTGAAGGCTAAACAGTGTTGCGCTATGATGTGCAGGTCAACATCCCATTGTCCTCAGATTTAACTGCTATCCCATGATATGGGTAACAATTGGCTTTTAGATGTACAGCTGTAAAGTTTTTCACATACTAAAACAAAAAGTGTTGTGCTTTTGTACACAGCACTCCTGTGGTCTTAAGGTGTACCATCTTGATTCTTTAGAATGTTTAGTTGTGGGAGGAAAACTACAAACAGAAGAGCTGTGTTGCAGGTGATGGCAATATGTTTATACTTCTAATAATCTTGTATTCTGGCTTCAACATCAGCATAACAGTTGAAAGAGAGAGAGCAGTGGTCAATGTTAATTCTACTGAAAAGTGAATTTTAATAACAAATCAGTCCAATTGTACAACGCTTCAAAAATCTATTTCCACTGTTCCTCCTGCAGCTTCCAAAGCCTTTTTTACTTCTTCAGCTTCTTCTTTGCTCACATTTTCTTTCACATTTGTTGGTAGCTCATCGATAAATTTTTTGGCCTAAAAAAAAAAGGATGACAAAAATTACACCAAATTCTGTAAGAGTATGAAATAATCATTGTAGAGACATTTCCCAGGACCCTTGAAATTAACTCATAGAGACAACCAAGGGTTAAATCTAGAAACCTGTAAAGGGTTGGTTGTAAGTTGTCACAACAAGCTCCAAGTAATATTTATTTAGTCATTCAAGTAATTGCACTAAACAGCTCTGTTTCTATGGTTTGAACTATGCAATATCTTCAAAAAATCTATGAGTGAACTCAAGGACAAGTGAGTGATATTGTATGCTAAAAAATTTATAACTTCAAAATGTCATTTTGAAGGAGTTTGGCATACATCAAACAAACAAATTTTTAACTGTCTCGAAAACAATTCAAAACATGTTACTCTCCAGTTTAGGCCTGATAACAACCTTGAAAAATGTTTTCATACCAAAAAATTTGTTGCCTCAGCACTGTTTTATTCTTGAGTACAAGTCAAGACTAAAGGAAAGGTTTAATTTTTACTGAAATTTTAACCATACATCAGATTGGTTCACTTTTTTCATCCATCGCTTTTAGGTTGCTTTACTGAGTCTGTGAACAAAACATCCTCAGGAATGTTAAGCAAGACAACCTGCTTCATGAAAACACTGCCATTAGTTACCATTTCTTTAGGCATACCTAATAGCGGAGCTCGCAGAGTGTAGCCCCATAATTATACAAAATAGTAGTAGCCCATCAAGCTGAAAAAATTTGGATGTACGACCGTACGACTGTATGACCATACAACTGTACTAGGTGCTACTTTTAACATGCCTGGTCAACTGTACCACAGGCATGCCAATGCCACGGCTTTGTTCAGTAGTCCAGTGGTCAGAGCTAGGGCTCCAAGTTGGACAACCTGGGTTCTAGTCCTGGCCGGGACAAGGCGTTGTGCCCTTGAGACATGCGGGAAAAAAAAAATGCGAGCTCCACTTTTAGGCTTGGCTAAATCTATATATTACTCTTACCATCTATAATCATGTGTTTATATTTAAGTAACTGATAATGGAGACTTTCCATTCACCTGAACTAAGTTAAGCCCTGGTACAAGATTCTTGATTTCCTTTATCAACTTGACTTTGTTTGCAGCATCAAACTGAGTTAACCTGACGATGAACTCTGTTGGAGGAGGTCTCTCCGGTTCAGCATCTACCTCCTAACAAATGAAAATTGTTTTAAACTCTTTCACTACTAAGAGTTCATTGATAATTTTCCTTACAGACTGCTTTACAAATCTTATGATGTTAGTTTGGAGAATTTAGTATTGGATCCACTAATAATCCCCTGATTGATATTTTTCTTTATTCTCATCACTTTTCAGCTTGATATTGCATCAAAATTGTAGAGAGAAATTCTATCTTGGTCACTGATGGGAATTGAAGAGTTAAGCCCCAGTAAAAAAACTAAAGTAATAATGTATCCTTTATTTAAACATGATAGGATCAAAGCTTGTGGGGTCATGTGAAAATGATCACAATATGAAACTTATTAAAATAGGGATAACATTACTTAGTATACAAAACACAATATACTGTATTTCAATTCTAAAGAGTTCTGTGGATAAAAATGGTTTCTTCCACCGTGGGAAACCCCTGAGGTAAGGTTTTTTTGGCCAGAGAACCCCAATTCAATTAGAAATATTTACCCAATAATTAAAGATTACAATGACATATGTGATTTGGCAAGTCACCTGGGCTGGTGCAGCTGCAACAGGCATAGCTCCCATCATTGGCATCATTGGAGCACCCTCTATTTTGAGTGTTTTCTGAAAGACCAAATAAAAGTGAACTTCAACTAATTTGTCCCCCAAAGGTCAGTAGCCTGCATAGCAGTGTTTAATGTTTCATTTTAGCCCAAGCACATCCCAATCCCACAAAACCCTCCTCCTCCACTGGAGCTTATCCTGCTTGGATGAAATGATACAGAAAGGATTACTACACAGGCTAGCCAGTTGCCTGGGTATATAATAACCTTTTTAAGTTCTATTTGAATGTTTACCCTTTTATCTATTTGCTTGAACTTTATGCTGTTGATTTTGTGGAGGGTAAACAAATCACATAAATTAACTATTTTTTAAATGAAACTTAAACTCCAAAATGATGGCAAAATTTACTAATGGCCAGAGATTCACAAGTGATGTAACTTTGATTATCTCATAGACGAACACAGTCAGCCTCTTATTTTAATTTTATCATTTTGAGATAAACCATGCCTTTGTCGTAAGCAAAAAATCTCCAAAAGAGCTTGAGTCTTGAGCCAGTTTAATTAACCCTTTAACTCCCAGAAGTGATTCACATGTAACTTCTCCCTAAAATATCTGTCCACTATTTAGCAAACTGGTAATGAGTATTCAAATGTATCCAGTAGAATTTGTTTTCTTGATCTAACACCAAATTCTTGCAACTAATTTACAAGGAAATGTGTAGCAGCTAGAGGAGAGAATTAACAAACAGATATTGGGTTAAAGGGTACCAATTAAAGATTTTTATCATTTTTTATACTTACAACAATAACGATAGGAAACTCTCAACGGAAATCTATGAAAATCTGTATTTCTAGGCTATCGCCGAAAATTATTTTAATAAGAATCAAAAATAATTACAAGCATCCCTAAAAATTCAATTTAAAAATTGTTAGAAAAGTGATTTACCTTTAGCAGCTCATTCAAATCAGCAACTTCTATGAGTGTAAGTTTTGATATTTCATCCACAATATTTGTGATCTTTTCAGAATATTCCTTGGGCGATTCATCGGGCGAGGGAGCTGCTAAGGTTGAATTATATCGCGTACAGAACCGCCATCTTTGGAGGGACACACACCACGTGCAACTAGAAAAACAAATGTCAATTACGTCATGAAACTCTTTTGCATTAATTTTAACGCTCCAGCTTGAGATCGTACCTGAGACTGCCATAAAATCGATAAGTACACGCTCTGGATGATGTAAGCAGTCTAAATGCCTCCATAGTGACTCTGGTCGCCATGTTGTAAATCCAGGAGTGGATCATGGGAAGTAGCATGAGTCAGAAAAGCACTGGGCCCCATTTGTAAACTGCAAGTTCTTATGGAATACTTGATCAGATGTGGAACACCTGATAATCAGGGGGAAATAACACTTTTACACTCATGCAGAGGTCACAGCGAATGAAAAACGTGAGCACAATGAACACCGAAAATACCCCACTGATCGTTACCCAGGACGATGTAAGTTTTTCTCGCTACTCTCAGACATTAAGTGACGCATATTCATGCGCAATTTGACAAACTCAGGTTTTAACCAGAGACCATTGCTATTCTGTAGCCGTTTATTCAAAGTTCAAGTCTTCCTCGTCGAAGATATGTCACAGAAGAACCCAACAGTTCGTACAGAGAAGTGAGAGAGATTAGAGAGGTGAGGCATTCATCAGAACTAACTCGCAGTACGATTATTGTATACCTCGTTGTTACTGACAATCTTATCAACGTCTATTTGAACAGTCAGCTTATTTCTCTTTCAGAGTTTATCCAAAAATGGTGTCGCGGCAGAACCAGGAAGTCTTCAGAAAATATCTTCAAAGTACGAGGTATGTAGTATTTGGAACCATTATTAATTATGAACTGGTCGGCGATCAAGTGATGTAACCTCACATGATCATTTGGGTAATTGAACCCCTATACCTCATTATATAGAAACGGTAACTATAATTGTATCCAGGACATCTCATTTTTTAAAGGACACTGACGAATGCAAATTTTTATGAACTGGCAGGCAATTCAAATTCTGCAGATCTTACCCTTATGGGAGAGTAAATTTATGAAACCAACTGGGGGTTACTATTTGCACTTTTTTGTTTGATGCATGGTCACATGTGCAGCATCAGATGTTTATGTATATCTTGTCATGTAAAAGACAGATGTTAACTTCAGAACGTAATGGTAATAAATCCTCTGTTCAGCTCACCTTGAACTTGTTCACAATAACTTGAATTACAGCATCAGTGAATAAGATTCACCAAAAGTCTTTTGAACCATTTGAAGTTTTGGGAAAATTTTCTCCAGTGAGGTTTTCATGAAATGAAAGGAAAAATTCAGAGGTCACCTATATTTTAGGGGGCAAATCATGTTTAGGCTGGTTCATAACTTAAGGAATAATTCACATTGAACAGACATTAGGCAGACATTTAGGCCGGTTCATAACTTTAGGAATAATTCACATTTAACAGACATAATAGTAAAAGGTCCTAGTAGTGGCAGTGGGCTGCCAGTAACTGGCATTTATTGAATCTCCTGGTGTATCTGTTTCCATGGATTGGCAAGCATTTTTTCTCTCTCTCTTTCTAGTTATTGGGCTGTTTGTTGTTTTATGTTTCATCCTCCCCTAACCTAGCCACCCTTCAACCCTTTATCTGCAAAACAAAATTCATAACTATCAAACTGTTTGGTTTTTAACAGAGCTTGGACTATGATACTCCTGAAAATTCACTTTACTTCAGAGAGCAGAAGTCCTATACCCCAGAGGTAAGTAAAGAGGCAGCAGTTACTACATCTTGAATGATAGGATGTGTCTCAAGGAGTCGTTCATTAATCACTTGACTACTTTTGATGCAAGATATGTCAAAGGCTAACATTAAGTTATGCAGGTAATTTGGTGTTTACAACTGAATTGAAAACATAAATTAGCCACTGCAAAGGGTAAAAAAGCTGACATTTCAAGTGTTAGCACTTCATCAGAGCGATCGCTCTGACAAAGGGCTAATGCTCGAAATGTCAGCTTTTTTACCCTTTACAGTGGCTAATTTACATTTTCAACTCAGTTGTTAACTCTAAATTACCTGCTATACTCTCCCACCGACGCAACACCACAGTTTCTTTAGAAATCTACCCCTTTATAACTTTAAGTTATACTCTGATGTCCAAAGGGATCAAGGCTGGATACTGTATTCTTTAGAGTACAAATATACTATCCTGGCTAACTAAAGGTTTTCATTCTTGATTTCTTAACCCTTAAACTCCCATAAGTGACCAAGACAGACTTTAGACTTTAAAAATTCAATACAATATCAAGCAGACAAGTGATGAAAATGAAGAAAAAAAATCAGTAAGGGGATTGTTCCTTGATCCAATACCAAATTATGCAAGGTCACATTATTTAAAAAAAAACTATATGGGAGACAGTAAGGAGAATTAATCTTGGGATTGAAAGGGTTAAGTTGTTTGAATTGATAAAGAAAAATAGATAAAATTTATGTAAATTAATGTTCATAAAAAAATTTTTTTTAATTTCTTTTGGCTCAATTACTATTGATTCTATATCAAATTGTTTTAATTTTCTTCACATATTTATGTTTGCTTATTATTAAGTCTCTCACTATCTCTAATATTTTGTGTAATAGCTTCACAAATATCTAGCATTGTTTACTGTTGTCTACAAGAAATTTGTTTGTGTATTTTTAGTTAATATATTAAAAAATTTTTCTTCTATTATTTTGTCACAAGGAATATCAAATTTTTTTCTTCAGGAACGCCTTCGAGTTAACATTAACAGATGGGTCGTTATGTTTATCATTGGATTTGTCACTGCAGTTATTGCTTTCGCTATAGACGTGTTGATAATAATGTTGGCAGGGTTTAAATATAATGTAATTAAAGACTGTATCCTTTTTTATTACATGCATCAAATGGGTTTGTTTTAGTTTTGCTTGTTATTTTTATAAAATTATCTGTCTTATGAAAGGTTGGCCAGAAACTGAAAACATTTTAATCAAAATCTACCAGTTATTGGACAGGTTTCTTGACACAAAAAACTAGTTAGTGAGTTGTAAGCTTGCAAAATCTTTCAACTTACATGTTATAATATATTTTGTTTCATATATAATGAACAAACGACTGTAAAAATACATTGTTTGTCCAATCAGAAACAAGAGCAATTATTATAATACTTTACAGGGGAAGGCAATAAATGGCTTCCAATCTTTGAAATGTGTCAGTCAGTAGGTAGTGTATAATAATCTTAGCACTAGGTACAAAATAAAAACATTATACCATGGAAAGTGCTTGAATGATTTTTATTCACTTGTTGCAATGCATTAAAAAACTCACTCATTTACTGCACTCACTCGTTTGTTTTTTTATATATCATAACTCTTGAAAAAAAATTGTTCATGAACATTTTCCGTGGAATGATCTCTATTTATTTTTTGAAAGCAAACGAAATATTCAAACAAACAAACCCAAAGTCACTCAAAAGAAGTGGATTCAAATGGAAATGAATAACAAAAAGTTAGACAATTACTGGTGGTAATTCCTTTTTTTTTATGACAGAAAAAGTTGTTAGCATTGGCAATCTGACTATTATTAAAATCATACTATGTAATATGTCACTTTCAAATTTTTCAAGAAGTTTTAGATTGTTATTGAATTTTGCTGTTCACAAGATGTTACCATTTTAACTGTGTTAAACAATTCTTGACTTTATGGTAGATATTAACCAATGCACCAGCGGAAATTGTATGTCCATTCCTTACTCATTATGGGTTGTACTAGATGCTCTTATGGTTTGCATTGCAGCTTGCTTGGTTGTTTATGGAGAGGTAATTGCTAAAATCTTCTGATATTTTGCAGTATCATATTACAGAGGTTTTTTAGATTTTTTATTGAGTTAACCCTTTAACTCCCATGAGTGACCAACACAGAATTTCTCCTTACAATATCAATACAATATCTACCAGATGAGTGATGAGAATAAAGAAAAATATCAATTTGAGGATAATTAGTTGATCCAATACTAAATTATCTGAACTAACATTATAAGAATTGTATGGTTGCCAGTAAGGAGAATTACAAATTTGATCTGAGAGTTAAAGAGTTAAAACATTGATGATATTACATAAATATGATCTCTTACTGTGAAGTGATAATCAAGAGACTGACCAGGGGTCTTTTGGAATAGAAGTTATGTTGTGAAAAATTAATGAAACAGCTATTAAATGTATGTTTTCAGGAGAGATATTTTTTTGTTAAACAATGGTTATTTTCTTATTGCTTGGTCTCCTGGCATATTATGTAATAGACTTCATTTAATAATTCAAATAAATGTATCCTCTCTGTTCACTAAGAAAATATGATTATGATATTACAAATACTTTTTTCAGCCTGTGGCAGCAGGGAGTGGTATTCCACAAATCAAATGTTACCTCAATGGGGTGTTGGTACCACATGTTGTTAGAATAAAGGTAAAGAATTGTGATCATTTCAAGATCTTTTGGTGTTACTTCTTTTGTCAGAGAACTTTTTTTTCTGCCATACTGTCAATCAATACATGTAATTTCAAAGTGAAGAATTTTCAGTTGGACAAGGCTCCAGACTTTAACAGCATTCTTCTAGACTCTTAGCTTGCTTAGTCTGCTATGATCGTGTATCATCAATAATGATTATTATAATATTATTAATATACTTATTATTATTAGATTAGAGATATTCTTGGATTGTTGTCATTAATTTTGAAATAGAGTGCGTTAATTGCTTAAATTTGTTAATTCTTTAACTTAATTCTTTGTTGTCCTCTGTTCCTATCATTGATTGGGTACCCTGTGTCTTATAATTACCTGTCCAAGTGCCTTTTTTTCAATTAACAAATGCTTTCTCTTCCTAGACCTTGTTCTGCAAAACAGTTGGTGTTGTATTTTCAGTGGCAGGCGGCCTGGCCTGTGGTAAAGAAGGTCCCATGATTCATTCTGGAGCTGTAGTCGCAGCAGGAGTTTCACAGGGAAGATCTACAACCTTCAACAAAGACTTCAAAATGTTTCAGTATTTTCGGGAAGATCATGAGAAAAGAGATTTTGTTTCTGGTGGTGCTGCTGCAGGAGTGTCAGCAGCTTTTGGAGCACCTGTTGGTAAGTCAAATAAAACAAAACTGATTTAAAATATCCAGACCCAATGACAAGATATCTGTAAATCTATTGAATATTAACAGTCCTGGCCTCTCCCTTGATTAGGTGGGGTGCTCTTTAGTTTAGAAGAAGGAGCAAGCTTTTGGAACCAGAGCCTGACTTGGAGAATGTTTTTTTCATCCATGGTTTCCACTTTCACTCTCAATGTCTTGTTATCTATTTATAATGGCACCCCTATGGATCTCTCAAACCCTGGACTTATCAATTTTGGTTCATTTGAGGTAAGTTTCCACAGTACTACTTGTTAAAAGTAGGTTTGAGCTCATTAAAATTTTTTCAAAGTTACCATTTTGCAACTGAAAATCAGAAAACAGTGGGTGGAAATAAAATTTTAGTCCCCAGAGGCCAGCAATCATTTCTAAAAGATGTAAGTTATGACATCCCAAGATGTAACAATCACACAGGCAATTAATAAGCACTTGTAATATTTTATACAAGTTTGTACCTCACTTTAATGCAAGATTATAAAAAATTAAAAGAAGCACATGTTGCAGCATGCTACTTGACCCACAAACATTGGCAAAACTCAAGTTTTCCCTACAAGTTTTCTTCCCATGCAGAGCTCCTGGCCAGTGAGAAATCCTCGATCCTTTACCAGTGAATCTTAATTAGAAGTGCTGTCTGAACTCTGTGTTGAGTTGTGAAGAGAAACTGTGAAATTAACTTCACCAGTAGAAGGTTGTATTATTAATTACCAGTGGGTAAAAGATTTCTATGATCTGTTGATCATTTAATTGATTAGTATACATTCATGCTTTCATGGAGGCCTATTTGAAAGTCTAAAGTGTTCTACTTTTGTTCCCCAGGGTCAAACATATGCGAGCTATGAGATACCTTTGTTTTGTGTAATGGCAATAGTTGGTGAGAATTTTTGTTTTGTATGAAAAAATCACACACACTTTCTAAGAAGCTTAACTGTAGATTTTTAGCAAGTGAAATATATTTTGGTTTAATTACTTCTTATTGGGTTAAAATGATTCGCAAGTGGACAAGAAGGGGTTACAAAAAAATCTTGTTATCAATAAGTTTGAAATTTATGTAAACTCAAAGACTGAAAGTGATAACCTGAGTATTATGCACCCAATTGTCATTACAACTATAGTTTTAATTTCTTTCTTTGCTTATTGTTTTCAATTTGTAATCATTTCTTAGGTGGCTTGCTTGGGACACTTTTCAATGCAATCAATCACCGTTTGTGTATATTCAGAATGAGGTATAATGTTTGACTATCCTCTTTAGTGAACATTTTTTTTTGCATGAGTAACATAAAAAATATTGCAAGCTTGGGTTACTGGTTTAACCCTTTAACTCCCAGATCAAATTTGTTATTCCCCTTACTGTCAACCATACAATTCTTATATCGTCAGTTTGGATAATTTAGTATTAGATCAACTAATTATCCTCAAATTGATATTTTTCTTTATTCTCATCACTTATCTGGTTGATATTGTATTGATATTGTAAGGAGAAATTCTGTGTTGGTCACTCATGGGAGTTAAAGGGTTAAGCATTTCTCCCTGTTTGATGATTTACTGACTGGCCTTTCTGTATTACTGTCAATCTAAGAGTTTTTATAAGTTTCTAATGGTGATGTTTTGAGCATTCACCTTTGGTCTTTGAATGATGAAGGGCAAACATTCAAAATGTCAGATTTCAGAAGTTGTTATGAAGGCCAGTTTACAGTATCAAGTCAGTTGACAAACATATTATCTTGTATATCACCCACCAACACAGTACCACTGACAGTTTCCATGAACAAAAACTTACCCCCTTTTTTCAGAAGGGTTGTTGTAGGTACAAAGAGCTTTGTGAAAGCTGTAGTTTGAGCCCTAAGTGGTTCATTGGTTGTGTTCATAGATAAAACACTTTCTCTTGCAGTGCTTTTCTTAACCTGCATAAATGGGTATCAGTAAAAACTTGACAATTTCCTTGAGGTCACCTGCCATGGCCAGCAGCATCCCATATAGGAGCCAGTAGAAATACTGCATATTATTTCTTTCCAACAAAACCAGGACAAGCCGTGGCCACTCTTGCCTTTAGCTTTGATTTCAGACTTCAAGTAAAGAGAGCCATTTAATGAGAGAAGTATAATACTTGTAATATTGCCCTCAATTCTATTTCCAGGTATGTGAGAAAGAACTGGCTTCGTGTAGTTGAAGCAATGATAGTTTCTGTGATGAGTGCAACTTCTGCTTTTGCGTTGATCTACTTCTATGATGACTGCAAACCAATAGGAGCAGCAAACATCACCAGACCATTACAGGTGCATATCGCCTTCTTACCCTAACATCAGTATGCATATTCTCAAAACTGCTCTCTATACATTTCTGTTTCTAATGATGAAGAGATTTTGTTTAATGATCATAAGCTTTTCCAGATTACAATCGTTTCCTTCATTCTCTTCAATTTAAGGCTTAATGTCATGTGTTTTACTGCACTTTTATTTGTGCTCTTGTTAATTGAGCAAACGCAGATAATAAATATGCCAAATACAAGACAACACGAGTGAAGGTAAATCTTGATGATCTTTCACTTATGATCTGTTTTGATTAGTTTTTCTGCCAGGATGGTCAATACAGTTCTATGGGGACCTTAGTATTCAACACACCTGAGGAGTCCATCAGAAATCTTTTCCACTTGGAAGAGTGTAAGAAAAGGTTTTGAGAATGTTTTAATCATAATCTACAGGCTGGGATAGTTCTGGAATTGACAGATTGTAAGAAGTTGGTTGGATTTAAGTAGCTTGGTAAGCCAAGCTTTGGTGGCAAACGTGTAGAAACTCAGACCAGGTTTTAAGTATTACTTTCAGTGCACTCTGTTTTCAAAAATGATGCTAAAGGAAGGAATACAGACATACAATTTCGTTAAAAGTAAAGGTATATATTGAGTTTCAAGAAAAGAAACAATCTGAAGTATTATGGCTGGCAAAGCTATTATTATCATTTTGTACGATGTAATTTTATTTATAGTCACCCATGTACCCGCACTTAAACTGGCAGTTATAGCTTTATAAAATTATTCGTTTCATCAAATAAATTATCGTGAGGAAATCTTTCCTCCCTGTCAGGCAATTGCTTGGAGGGGTGTTAAATTCTCTCAATTTGGACTTAGTGCGGCAACTTGTTCCCAATTAATTTATCACCCACAAGGTAACTTTATGACATTTTTCTTTTCAGCTTCATATGATGTGGCGATGCTAGCTGGTTTTGCTCCAATCTACTTCTTACTTGCCACTTGGACTTATGGTTTGTTCGTTCCCAGTGGTCTTTTCGTGCCTTGTATTCTGACCGGGGCAGCCTGGGGACGTCTCTGGGGAGTGGCGTTGAGGAAGGTGTTTCCACAGGGGAACTGGGGTCATACGGGAAGTTACGCGCTCATCGGAGCTGCTGCTACTCTTGGTAATAACATAAGTGAAAAATACCTTTCTCTTACTATTTACAAAACATGACGCTTTCGAAATTGCTGATCTTAGCAGTATGCAGGACGCGTGTCATATATGAGCTTCGTAATGAGCCTTGCTCACCACAGAGTCTCTGTGGCTCAGTGGTAGAGCATGGGAGCTCAGAATCTGAAGGTCTGAGGTTCGATTCCTCACGCTCGTGACAAGACGAAAAACATCTTTCTCTATAATTAAGGTCAGCTTATAAAGGGAGGATTGACCGATTGACTCTCTGACTAATGGATTGATTCACCTATTGATTGATATGTGCAAGATGGTTGAACAACGTGAGAGTTTGGATACAATCAAAGTAATAACTTCTTGCAATCCTGTCGTGGTCAATGGGGGAAGGTCTTGTAGCCCATGTGCCCCCGACCTTTCCTCTCAAAGTAACCGGTAATAACTCTCCTGTTTCTCATTTAGGCGGTGTTGTCAGAATGACGATCAGTCTGACAGTTATTTTAATGGAGGCAACTGGAAACATAAGTTTTGGTATTCCCATCATGATCGTTCTTATGATCGCTAAATGGGTTGGTGATTTCTTCAACGAGGTGAGTTGACCAGCTGTAAGTCTTCAGGCCCCGAAGTTTTGCGAAACTGACGACTTTTATTGGGGAAGCTGTTCATGTGTTGACCCCATGTAACCCCCTCTCTCCCCCTTAACATCTCCCTCCCCCCCCCCACGGTGAAAGACGCAGATGCGAAGATAAGTGCCCCAAAAACGATTCTCATAGGCCTGGGTTCGAGCCTCTTACCTGATCGCTGTAACTTTGAAACTCTTTGTTTGGTAATGGCGATCTGATGGATTGGCAGCTTATCCGATCCAACGATAATAAACAAAGTAGTTGAAAAACTTAACCGTGATGCATTGACATCTGTGTGAAGCTTAAAGTTCGCGCCCTCTCTTGTTCAGGGTTTATATGACATCCATATCAAGTTGCAAGGTGTCCCTTTGCTTGGCTGGGAAGCGCCATCGATGGCCGTCGGATTGAATGTCAGGTAAGCTTGAACTGAGCAACCTTCTAGTGACGCCTGTAATTGAAGACTTCTGCGGGTGTAGTAGTTATTGCGTTAGAAGGATGCTTGTACCACGTGGGGTTCTCGACCAATCAGATTTCTGTATTGAAAATCGAGTTGACTTTTAAGGGGAGCGGATCATGAAGTACGCTGACGTCACGCAATCTAATAAGTTGAGACATTCAATAACGTCTCGTGGTACAAGCATTCCGCTCTCTCATTGGTTAATACTCTTGTTAGAGTCTGTTACGAGCCCAAGAGAGCTAAACCTTCCAAAATACTGATAGGATATTGAGCTATTTAGCAATCCCAAAAGTTGTGACTTTTCAAAAATAACGACCACACGCCAATGGTCGGGGCTGGAAATGATATTAAAAAAATCGTTCTGACAGCTCGATCGCTCAACTTTTCACGGAACACGCTAATACGTTTGGAGCTAAGTTTTTTATTTTGGCTTATTTAAGTCATGTTCGTTTGATTTTCTCCTCAGTGATATTATGAGTCAAAAAGTAGTTTGCTTCAAATCAGTAGAGAAGGTAAGTTCGATTATTTCTCCACAGCTCACCACTTTAGCTTGGATTTACATTCTACGAGCGAAACATGTTCAATTATCCACCTTCTTCCCTAACATTTCCCAGTCTGTGGGTTACTCCAACATGGATTTAGTTTGCTCATTTTTGAAAGTTCGTCTTAATTAATCTTGGAACTTGGCCTGAGAAATTTTTCTCCCCTCTGTCAAGCCCATTTCCGAACTGCCTCTTGTTTTTATTACATTTGGAAAGTGTTTCGTCACAGTAAGTGGTTCAGTTATGGAACGACCTAACCTTTGCGAGAAAAATAATGCGCTCACGGTTTTTTTAGGTAACCTCCACGAATTTCTTGTAAATCTCAAGGAAGTTTTATCATAGGCCCTGTATAAGCCTTGTATTAGCTTCTGCCTTTTACTAAAAGAGTGACTGATTCCCGACGATGAAGTGGAAAGCTTTCGGTTATTAAAGGATGTCTACCTTAACTCTCTCTCTCTCTCTGAGGTTGTCTGAGGTAATTTTGAGGCGTTTAACTTAACCAGTTTTCATCTTGTCAGGTTGGACGAATAGTTGACGTATTGAAAGACACAAGCTCTCACCACAATGGGTTTCCTGTAGTTGATTTCCTTGAATTAAGAGAAGGAGAGGTATGCTTATTTGAGCTGTTTTTATGCTTTGTTTAATTCAGATAAAAGACACTTTTCCATCGCTTTGTTCTTTCGTTTCAGGAATCCAGTAATGCAGACAGAGACACGGCCCCGTTCGGGACTTTCCGCGGCTTAATACTTAGATCCCAGCTTATTATTCTTCTTAAACAAAAGGTAAGAAAATGAAGCACATAAATGTCTAGAAGGATACAAAATCAGAGATCCCAGAAATTAATAAAGTGTTCCAAGGGAAGATCATTCTGTTGAGAAGCGTCGAAGGGAAGAGCTCGAGGTTGAACTTTCGGATTTGATTCACAACAACCAGACACTTGATCGGGAGCTTTGTCATTTTGCGCAACAAGCAAAATTGTGGCAAGAGCTCGAGAATGAGACCTCTTGTCTGGCTTTGTCAGTCGATAATGACTCGGCACCTACTCAGCAAATATCGGAAAGCGTCGAAAATATCAGCTTGGTTAACGATGACTCGTTTGTTCTTGTAAATGAAGAACTGAATCGCCAAAGCAGTGCTGTGTTGGATCAAAGCGAGGTTGAAGTTTTAAATCCATCGCTTTTTCTCATTCTATTTAATTTCTTCCTTTTAGATATTCTCTGAGAATAGTCGCCAAGGGAAAAAACATAACTTGATGTTGCAGGATTTCAGAGACGCTTATCCGCGATTTCCTCCCATCCGAGTGAGTATGGGTTCGAGTGAAGGTGTTGAGTTTATCTCTCTTGCTTAAAGGTTCTTCAGACGTACCTACTTAACTCGAACCATTGGCAAGCTTATGAAGAATTGTGCGTCTAAACCAGACATAAGTGTTGGAAATGAGTTTTTTTGTTCCCATGATGCTTCTGTGGCTCATCGTGCTAGCGACTTGAATTTAACAAAGCTTTTTACATAATATAGAGGATCTCTTGGATTTATATTTTTGTTTGTTTTTGTTTTGTTTTGTTATGGTTTTTTTTTTATCATTTCGTGTATTGGCGTCTTAGGCATTGCGGTTTGAGGGATCACTGATAAAGATTTCTCAAAAATATGATATAATTTCATTTCTCCTCGTGATTGTTCAATTGATGCGTAGTTGCTTTTTTTTTGCAGAATGTCAGTATATCAAAGAAAGAGAGAGACTGCTACATGGATCTTAGACCGTTTATGAACCCAAGCCCCTACACAGTGCATGAAGTGAGCTCTATTTTCCTAAATACCGTCGTAGTTTTCAGAACATTTGCTGTGTAAAGCCGATATGAAATGTAAACTACGTTCAAGCATCATAACGCCCTTACTCTTTTATTTCAGAATGTATCCCTCTCCCGTGTTTTCAAGTTATTCAGAGCTCTGGGACTCAGGCATATTGTTGTGGTAAATGAAAACAATCAGGTGAGTAGGGTCTGGAAACTAGCTAAATGTCGGGGTCGTGAAATTGTTTCTACTCACGCGGCCTTGGTGCATTTACATGTTAGAGCGAGTTCCTCTAAGTCCTTTGTGTTGTGATTTAACAAATTATCGGCGTGATTCCTCTGGCACATTTCGAACTGAGCTGGGTAGTCCTGATAGTTGAAAGCGTATGCGGTTAGATGTGAAAGCATCTCGTGGCGCGACAGTAAACAAAAGAATTATCAGATGACCAAAAATTGCTTAATTCTCAACACTTAATTGTCGAATCTTATTCACGATATCTTGACTGACTTCACGCTCTCTGTTACAGGTTGTTGGTATAGTAACGAGAAAAGACATCGCTCGTTTTCGAATGTGGAGTCATCGTGGTCAGATTGGCCTAGAGGAAGTTCACATTTTAGAAGAAAACTCCATACACGATTCTTTTTAATCCATTCACTTAACAACGCAATAGATCTCAAACCGACCTTGGGTACTTAAAATTGGAATAAGTCTAAAAAAGCCTCTTATGGTGGCTTGGCTAATTGTCCAATCTACCAAGACGCCGTTCTCGGTGAGCGAAAACGAAGCTGTAGAAAGTTGTTTCCATGAATCGAGAAATTTGAAAACTCTGCCGGGCTATGTAGTGAGGTGTTGACTATCGTCAATGAGCGTGATTTATTTAGTAATTGAATTCTTAGGGGTCTATTTAATATAATTGCGATTAAATTGTCAAAATAAATGAGAGGTTGATCCAGGGCGCCGTATTGAATCGCGAAAGTTAGAAAATACTCAGAGGGAGTATTTTCACCAATTTTTTCTAAGAGACGGAGTGCAGGGAGAAGTCTGGGGAAGGGATAGGTTTTCGTCGCCTCTCCCACCCGTCCCTCGTCTATTATGTTGAGTTGTTACGTCACCCAAGGCCTTTCACGTCTTTTTTCACTAATATCAGACACGACCCGTTTTTCCGTTCCTTTTTTGACGAAAAGAATAAATGAGGTATAAAAAGTTATAAACAGAAATTTCAACTAGGCTCTGAGATATTTCGTGAAAGAAAATTTATTGACAGGTAGATTTGAAAGTCACATTTGATATATTTATTTTTTTATTTGGAAACAAAACATAAATAAAATTTATAAATATATACATATATACTAGAACAAAAATATAGAATAACACTCTGTTATGGTAACCACTTTAAGAGACCAAACGGTTAAATAAAGTTAGAAATACGGTTTTAGATTGGGAGCAAAATTATCTTGTCATAATCATCACGTGCATAACCACATTATATCTTTGCTGTGATTGGTCGATAGGCATGCAAATTAATTTGTACGGCCAATTTCTTAATTTACTTTTTCATTCCATAGCTCGTCACTGGTAGTGACTGGAAATTATTAAAACAGCAAATATTTTTGAAAAAATTCTTAGTTATTCCTTTAAAGGTTGACATTTGTTAATGTCGTTCTGGCTTTCTTACAATTTTCAATATTCTAGCTTCCTAAGGAAAAGACTCGACTCCTGAAAAGCGCGGTAACTTGTAAGCAGACGGCTGCTATTATTCGTGACCGTTTTTTTTTTAGTTGAGGGGTTTATCACACACCCTCTACCCCCGATCACACAAGAGGAGGTATTTTTATGTTCTCGGGTGACTAGGATAATCAACGAGTTTTTGTACTAAACTCAGTTACGCGATCGACGCTTACACTGAGAAATTGTCATCTTAAGAGATCTTGAGCACACGTTAGCCTTGTTAAATACTAGATATTCTTTACACTCTTGCTTCAATAGAGAGAAGAGAAAAAGGAAACCATTAAATCGAGTCGTCGAAAAAGTTTTTGTGTTTTGCTTTGAAGGAAAATTTTATTTTTCACTAAGACACTTTTTAGTACTCTGAATCAACTTAGGACTTTTTGTTGAAGTCCTTAAACCAGGCCAAATTTTCCTCAACTGTGATTGGCCTAATCTGATCACATGTGGCGCTTGATTACGAATCACCGCCGTAATGGGAAGAAGATAAGTTTCCTGGTCTCGGCTAAGAAGAATGACTTAAGTTGCTTTAAGCGTTGGAAATGTGCTCCAATCAGTTCACCGTCTGATTATGCTCCTTAATATTTCCTAGTACACTTGAATTATATTTGAATATGCAAATTAATATTTTCCAGACAAGAATCCTATCATTTATATTAATTGGTTTGTACTAGCTGTGATTTCCTTGTTTGTTATTTTTATCGCAATCTCCATTGTTAAGGTCAGCGATTTCAAGAGATCTTTGACGTTGTGAATAGTGCGCTCACAAAACGATTTTTTAAACAAAAGAATTCAATTTAATGAGAAAATAATTAACTATGCCAACAAAACAACACAATGGCCATAAAACCAACAATGATGTCTGCATGTAAAACTAGGATTTCAAATTCATTATGTTGTTTGATCATTCGTCACGAAAACTCAAGTTTGTTCTGCGATACTTCTTATGTTGGTTTTGAAATCTTGGCCTGACCTTCTGGAGCTGACAAGTCGCTTCAAACTTTGCCGGAAAGTCTACAGGTATCAATTTCTCTTTCAAGTTTATTTAAAGTAACGAAACTGGGCGGTAATTGTACTAAAATAATCACTCCTGCTCGGCAAATTTAGCAGAACATTCATGTTACGTTAGTTTATATATCTTACTTGTTCAGAATTGCAAAAACATTTTTTACACCAAGAAATCAGATACTGTTTGGTATCTGTATTAATTTTGGGTTCAAATTGACTTGCTAGGCAAACGCTTCGCTTTCGTCCAGAACACAAGACCAAATCACTGTGTCTAAATGTATTTGCCAGAATTCGAAATCTTACAGAGCATGATAAAATTTTATCAAGAAAGTTCCTTACGATTGCCACGGTTTCCTACTTGCCGATATGAAGTCACTCAAAAATCTGAGTCTTTAGAAGGCCACTGAAGAGTGCGCTATAGGTATCAAGACAAGAAATTAAATTTCTAAACGAACGCGTCGAAATGTTAGCTCTCCCAGGGAGGGGAGGGTGGGGCCACCTTGACAGCGTTCCCTGCCTACTATGAGCCATTAACTTGCGATCTTCGAGACAATGGCAAACAAGAAAAAAAAATTAATTAGCTTATTGTCCCTAAATTAGAAACTTCGTGGTCTGATATATCAATTTAACTTATGGTATATACAGCTGAATTAAATTCTAAACTTTCGCTACAACGAAATTTAGGGAGTTCAGGTAGTTGCACCTTAAAGCTTTATCCGGAAGCATACATCCTTTTTCCTGTAAAATAGATCATGCATGGTAAGATGTTTTTCCGAGCTAAGTGATTTTCGGCACGAGTAAATGAAATCGTGTAAATGAAATCTCACCACGCAAAGATACCCTTTCCACTCCTTATTTGCACCGTCTTTTAACTTGTGGGAAAGCCAAGCTCCAAGCAGTTTTCGACATTTCACATCACTCCTTAGTTTCGCTTCTGTCTGCCGGTTTAAAAGTTTTGGATTCCTCTATTTTGGAGTAGATTTGTGCGAAGAGTTGCTTGTATTCCCTTCCGTTCCCTGATAAGCTGTTTTGCCGTGAAATATTTTGTGAACCTATTTCTTCAAATCGAACGTCGGGTTCCTCGTCCAGTGGCGAAGTTTGAATCGCACGCTGTACTGTCGGAATCGGAGCTATATCTTGAACAATTCCTTCGCTTTTGCATCTCTCAACCAGAGAGTCGTATTTCCTAACAAGCTCGTGATATTGGCTTCCAAGCTCTGACAAAAACGATGTGCTGTTCTCTTTGAGAGGAGACTTCGCCTCATGCGACGGACTTAAAACTTCAACCTCGCTTTGATCCGACATAGCGCTGCTTTGGCGATTCAGTTCTTCATCTATAAGAACAAACGAGTCATCGTCAACCAAGCTGATATTTTCGACGCTTTCCGATATTTGCCGAGTATGTGCCGAGTCACTATCGACTGACAAAGCCAGACAAGAGGTCTCATTCTCAAGCTCTTGCCACAATTTTGCTTGTTGCGCAAAATGACAAAGCTCCCGATCAAGTGTTTGGTTTTCGTGAATCAAATCCGAAAGTTCAACCTCGAGTTCTTCCCTTCGACGCTTCTCAACAGAATGTTGTCTTTTCAACTTCATAATCCTATCGTTGAGAATTTCAATATCTTTCTTAAAACCTAAAACTGCCTCGTCTTTTTCGGTGTGATCAGACTCGTTGTCGCTGCCTAACTCGTACCCATTCTCCTTCTGAGTGAGTTTGAGAGACAGACTGTTGGCCATCTCCCTCTGAAGTCTCATTCGTTCTATTTGGAGCTCTTCTAACTGCACCCTGTACTCATCGCACTTATTTTCCAAGGAGTCCACGGTTTGCACAAGCGTTTGGTAGCGTTTTCTCATAACCGCAGTCTCACTTTGTAATTCCTTGTTAGTATTCTGTAGTTCCAAAGCAGTGGATTCCATTTGTTCACAAGCCTTCACTTGACCATCATGCAATTCCCGCAATGTTTCCAGTTGTTTGGAAAGAAACTGAAGATTTCAAAACAGTTACATATATTACGAGCGCGCATTGATTATTATAAGAAAAGATTAATTTCCACTTTTAATCATTTACACAAATTAAGTAATTGTAGAAAAATCTTTCTTCTCCCCTAAGTAGCGTATACATACGGGATAGTCTTTAGAGTGTCACGCAACGCTTGGGGGGAAGGGGGGTGACTTCCCTGGGCGAGGTACGGGACTGAGTCGCTAAGTCGCCTGCGCTCGCTCTCGCTTTCCTAATATGAAGCGCCAACCAGGAGTACTAATATTCCGCTTGGGTGTACTTCAAACGGGGTGAGTTGAAGTTACAAGCTCGCAATCGTTTATTCGACCGGGCATGTTTGATTCAGAGTTGACGTGCACGGTGGGGTAAGGGGGAGTGACCCATTTCCTCCCCTCTCCCTAATTTTGACCGTCGCTCCCCCGCTTAGCATAGATTTCTTTCCTCCCCAGTCTTACGCGGAGGTAAAAATCAAAATGGCGTTTAATTTTTTTCGGAAATTTTATCAACTTAATTCAAAGGTTCGAGCGAATAAATCCGTTCGAATTTTGGGTGGCTAAACTGTCTTTCTCTGGTCAGTTACTTCTTTTCTTTTCTCTCTCTGCTTCCCACCACTTTCTCAAATTAGACACGCGTTCAATCTATGCGATTACCGTATATTGAGCCAGTAAGAATATAATCTGGGAGATAGAAGAACGTGATCAAGAATGAAAAACAAGCAAATTTCATCGCTAAAAGCATAAAGAATATTTCAGTTTCTTTACCTCATTTTTAATGGACTGCTCCTCGAGATAGTGATGTGACGACTTCAACATTACTTCCAGTTCTTTGTTTCGTTCCAGAAGATTTTTGCCGATCTCAGCCGCCAGCTCGAGATCTATAATATGGCCAGGGTAAAAAAATAAAACGTTCCTTCAGTGATATTGGTTGCAATGTAGGGTACAAAGATAGCTTCATTTTGTCACGCTTGAGCAACGATTACAAGATGAACGATTACTTAGCGCGCATTAGTTCTGAAGAAGTCAGTAATCGTGAAGATCAATGATAAATCATAAAACAGTAAATCTAAATCTCATTTTGCAGTTTTACGAATGACATTTCAACGGTAATAAACTCCGTTCCTGTTTTCTTTGATCAATAACAAGAGAGATTAACTTTTTCTTAAAGCGGGAGAGGCCAGCATCAACTACGATTTTCACAACACTTCCATACGTCTACCTTTACTTTTTGTAGGTCGAAACTAGAGTTGGATAGGAAGCGAAAGGAATCGGAAGGCGACTTAACCAGGCGATAACGAACAAATTAAGTAGGATTTTTCTGTTAAAGTGCTAAAAGCTGGAAAGAGAGCAGATATTGATGTTGCTCTGAGCTATACAACTGAACATTCATAGCGCTCCAAGCACAAAAAGGGGTTTACACAACCAAAGCTTCCAACCTACCCGCTTTATGCCATCTATTATCACACAAAGGGTAAGATTCACAAAACACCGATGGATGTTCAGATTCCATGACAAAAGATGCTTTCACAATTAACTTGTTGCCAAGACTAAAAGTTCATGCAACTTAGTTTGAGCATTAGCGTTGTTTGACCAATGAGATTTCACTTCTGGTAAATAACTGAATAATGGCAGAGAAAGTTTGTTTGCTGAATGAATGTAATATTGAAACAAGTCTTTCGACCTAATCAGTGATAAACTCTTTGTGAGTGATAAAATTTCCCGTGATTTTTTGGCGGATCAATATGGAATCTCTAACAATTCGCCCAAATCGCAGTTTTTAACACCGTTTTGCGAAACAAAAACTTATGTGATTAAAAGTAATCTTATACGTAGCTTATTCACATACTGTTGCTGTTCATGTTATTGTTTTCCTTTCCTTTCCTTTGGTGAAACAAGTTTTTAATGTGTGTCGCCTACGTTCGTATTTATCACTATTGCCTTGGTATCGCTTTCCAACTTTCCCCACAAAGCGGAAGTGACGCAATTTTCTTGCGCAGCGGAAGCGAAATGTTTGGGTGTTGCTGAAAAAGTCTACAAGTTTGCCTAATAACCCGCGGAAAATAAATTAACTGACCCACCGGCAAAGATAATCTGTTTTCTTAGAAACATTCTCGACGGCATGACAGTTTTATCCGATGACGATGTTGATTTAAATATAAATCACCAAATCCTTGAGTCGCTTTTACATGATATGGTGACAATAAAATTATATTCGAACTTTATGTTGAAATATTCTTAAATAAAAGACATGATTGACTGACTACCCTCATTCAAGATCGCCTTGAAAATGCATAGAAACACAGAAATCAAACAATATCACTGGGTTAAAAATGTCTTGAATTTGTATGAATCTCGAATCAAATTTCACACAGAATCAGACAAAAACCTTTTGATCAATCAACTTGTTCAATACACTCGCGATCGCATTTTAATAGTGGAATGTCTGTACTCAAAAAATTCGACAGGATACATGCTACTTTTTTTTTTTCGTTAGGATCACTTGCAATTATTCTTGAGGTAGTGAAAGGAAACGTTTTTCACGGCAGAATGCACTAAACGGCGAGAAAAAGAAACAGCGATACTAAGGACATAATCTCACTCACCAGTACAGCAATGTGATCCGCGATCTTTCTGATCCATACTATCGCTGATGTATTCCAAATTATAAAGCGACGAATTCACCTCCATGGACGCGATTCCAAATATTGTCTAAAAATTTGCCATATCGGTTTCTCGCCCAAATAATATCGCAATCCCGCCCGAAAAATCGCGCTTCTCGTCGGCGAAAGAAACCCAAACCAGAACAGATTGCCGTGAATGTAAATATCAACCACTCATGCGAACGAGGCCGGCTGTGCCACGTAAGGTCTAGTGTCGTCATTTGCATATCACAGACGCTGACCTGCGAGAAACATATCATCATACACCGCGATTGGGAGGCATCGCTCATTCAAACAGCCAATCAAATGCAGCGAATAGGGAACAAACTGACATGTTTTGACCTTTTTCAAGAGGCAGATGTGTATGTCACATCTTCCGATATCTTCAGGATTATACATTTTTAAAAACAATGTTTGCTTGATAAAATATGCATACAACCCGCTGATTTACTTACAATTTAGTTATACGGTAACCGCGGTCAATTTTTTTTTTCTGACATGGATCGCTGAAGGTTGATTTTTACCACAGCAGGTGACTTTTGTATAGTGAAAGAAATTTCAAATTCATATTTCATGTACCGGCAAAGATTGAGAGGAAAAAAAACATTTTTTTTTTTTTTTTTGGGGGATTGTTGGGCATAAAGGTTCGGCAAAGCTTCCCGTGTCGAAAATGATTCGAAAATATGGTGTAGGATGGGGGGAGGGGTCGGGAGGCTGAGGATGCGAATATCAGACCTGTACCTGAGGCACTACTTCAGTTGGCACAGACGGGTCCGTGGGTCAGAGCCGCGTAGGTTTAGAAGGGAAGAGGGGATTGGGGAATAGTCAATATAATATTAGTGAAAGGAAAACGAAGAACAATGGATCATAGTATAAGGATCGAGGAATGTGGAGTTGGAAATAAAGAGGCAGGAAGACCAAAGGAACGGAGGAAGGGGAACGGGGAATGACGCAAACTGCTAAAGCCAAATAAGGGAGTGTCTCGTCCCTATCCAGAAATGATGGCAAGCAGGAGCCCATTTGGGCTCCTGTGGCCAGCGAAAATCTGTATTTATGTGACTTTGCACTTCTTTCGTATTAGCCACGGTGGCCCTTCAGCCAGATGTTAATTAAAATGTCAACGAAGTCAGTAAGCTTTGCTGTCTTGACTGGCTGATGTCTTCGCTTTCGTTTTTTTTTGTTGTTGTTTTTTTGTTTTTGTTTTTTCTTTTGTTTTTGTTTTTTTGTTTTTTTCTTTCTTTTTGCCAATTTTGTGTTCAATGTTCGAAAAAATAAAATAAAACTCGGTCCTAGTCTTCTTTTGTCGGATACTCTGGAACAATGACCAAATACTGGTTATGTAATAATCAAACAACTTGCGCTACGCATTGCACGTAGGTCGGAAATCGGTCAGCAGTCATTTGTCAAATTCGGAGACTTTTTCAACTTCCGCTTACTTAAACAGCCGCACAGTACCATTGACGAGTTTCCTGACTGATCTCAGAATCGCCGGAAATGATTGATTTCGTACGAACGTAAACTGTCCATTGTATGCAACGCTTTCTATTCCATTTTCATTACTAGAGTATGTTTTGTATGCAGTATTCTTTTGTAAAAAAAATTCAAATCTAAAGGGTAGCTTAGCAGAACTCAATAAATGATGAAGCTTTTATGACATTTCGCTATTCTAATTGGCTGTTGAAACTTTCGAAGTGAGATTAAAATTTGCCTTTTTTTGGTGTCCACCATCTGCTTTGAGATTTTCCTCTTTTGAAAGATTTAATTGCAAATCGTAGCTGACAAATTTTTAAGTTTAAATGGAAAGTTAGCTTGAATTTCTTGACTAGGAGATTCCTCGATAAACACAACTCAAATAATCGATTTCAGGAGAGTTCATTTCCTCAGGATGCATAATCGAAGGTAAATTAAAATATACGAATTAAAATGACATAATGTTATAATTTAAAAGTCGTATCGTGCAAGGTGAAATATACTTTTTAAAAGCCGCTAATTTCAGCTACGTCCGTCACAGTGAAATTATTAATACTTTATATCTGTGCTTAGACGATTTTGTCACAAATTTATCCCTCGCATTTAAGATTGAGGTAAGCGTCAAGTGTAGTCAGTTTCGAATTAATCTTTTGCCTGTCAAAATGGAATTGGTTAGAATTGAAGATACAGTCTATAATTTACCAATGGTAAGTTTCTTCAACTAGATGTACGTGCAAGTATGAAATCCGTGTGTGATTCAGAAAAAACCCATGGTAGGCAAAGCCGTAAGATCACATTTGAGCTGAAAGACTTTTAAAAAGCGCAAGCGAAAGGACCGTTTTTTTTCTCCATGCAAAAGAAAATGCTTTGGATCAGCGGTGAGCGCGTCATTTTTTTTTTTCGCGTGGTACGTAGGTAAGTCTAGCAAAAGCTGGTTGAATTTGTCGAATGTATCTTCATATGTAAATTATCAGCGTGTGGGGCTTGCTCGGTGAAAATAAAGGTCATAACAAAAAAAAGGGGGGAGCTTTAATTAAACGATGGCACATCAAAAATTTGAAATCTTTCAAGACTGAGAAAAGGTGACTGGTGCAACCACACCGAATTCACGAATGATTTTGTTCTTGGCCCAATTTCCGCTAGGTTTTTTAAGTCTAACTCGCCAAAATGATCAGAAAGTGTAAATTGGTGATTTTTCTAAGCGGTTTAGTTTATTTCAGTTTCATGCCTCACAGAACAACTTAGAGTTTATGTGTAATAATATTTCCCCAAAATTCTAACTTTCGTTTGAAATTTTCCTTGTCAAAGAAGTAACATTGCCAATAACACCTGCTGAGGTTAACTAATGGTCAGGTTTATTGTGATACAAATTAACTTCACTCTTTTGGCTAAAAGCAGGATGAGTGAAAGGCCATACGAAAAAAAAAAAGATTCTACATTCATCATTTTTCTTAATCATTCATCCATACTACTATTTACTCCATCAAATGTTTTCTGTTTGTGTTAGCTAACGAGCTCATCACGGTATCGTTTACTGAGAGAGCAAATATGTACACAGAATTTGGCTTTCTCCATTTTCTGTGACCTTCTAAACCGCATGAGTCATGAAAATCGATCTGTTGGTGATGGTAGTATTAGGGATGTGCTATCTGTGAAAAGTTATCATTTCGCACCTCACACTCTAGTCAATTAGTAATTTTTTTCTAAAACCGCAAATTAGTCAACACTTTGAATGTGAACTTAAACTAACCC